AAAACACCAAACGTTTTCAAGAAGAACCAAATAATTAACATAAATTAAAAAAAAAAAATTCATATTGAGAAGAATATTGTTAATTCCCAGCTGGGTATTAACCAGTAAAAGATATATTTATTGTACCTTGCATATTTATGTTATCAGAACATAACACATCAGCACATAACAAATGTAATTAAATGTCATCCTGATTTAAGGTGACACCTCAATCAGCCTCCACTTAAGAGGTCATGGTTAAACTTGTTGGACAAGACACTACCTAACTGGTCTACTGTCTGTTAGGATCTGTGTTTTCTGTGTAGTTTTTCTGTTAGTCCAGTTTCCCCTGTGAATCTGTCTTCCCTGTTGATTGCTCCCAGCTGTATCCCGTTCCCTGATTACCTTCCCTGTGTATTTAACCCCACCTGTTGTCTTTGTCTGTGTCGGATCCTCGTCGTGTCTCACGTCTGTGTCTGTTCCTGTGCTGCCAGTATTTTCTGTTGTTCCTCCTGGTTTATCATTAAATTATCTAATTTCATCATGACTACCTGGGATTCCCGGCGTCTCTCTCACCACTCTCAACCACACAGCGTGACACTGTCAGCAACAAATATTTGATGAAGGCCTATCTTTTATAAATGCAGGTAATGCCAAACAAAAAGAGTGTGATGTCATATCCAGTAGACAACAATACAAACAGATGTTGAAAATATGATGGCGTGAGCTGGGTTTTATCACATTTACAATAGCAGCTTTGGCTTCATTTGTAACAGGAAATCTTCATCAACATTTTTGGCAGGCGGCGATGTGAACCATTCACAAAAGGAGACAAGTCTTTAAAAGTATTCATAGACCCTGTTGAATGTCAATTACTACCAGTGAAAGATGCAAGTGCCTGCACGTCTCTGCCTCCATTGGAGTGCTTTTGTCTCAGAGTGCTTCAGATCCATGAATAGATGACCACAGCCGGAAGCTGTGTGCTAAGGGTGCCTGGCGTGGGAGCGTAGGAGTCGGATTATTGAAATGAGAAGAACCCGCAGCCCCAAACGAGTCAGAAATCCGCTATTTTTGCCTGAATGGTGATGTGTCAGAATGTAAGAGGCGTCTGTGATCAGAGAAACCGAATGCCGCCTACAACCTCAGAACCCGGGCATGCTTCAAGACTAAATCGGTGTTTATGTAATTTGACATTTATGCAAGGGAGAAAAGGATCTGCCTGGATGAGGTGGATGGTGGTAATTGAGGGGGCGGGTGCATGTGCAGCCATCTTGCTTTAATTGCCATGCATTAGGTGAAATTAGAACGTGGGAAGGAGCGTTACATATATATTTACAGTATGCTCTAAACATTTAGAAAAGCAGATGAGGTGTATGAGATGTGTTTGTACAGTCATACTAAGTGAAAAGTTCAATCTGTCCAACTTCAGTGGTATCTACATGGACATACCCTAAAAACACCAGTCAAAAATGCAAAAATGTATTGCTGTTGTTTTCCGAGACCGTTGTTGCCATGATCTCCCGAATTTCTCTCTAATTCAGGCAAAACTTTGTTATGAGTTGAATGACGTCTCTTAGGTTGTGGGATGATGAAATCCTTTTGGTTCCCTGGGAGTAGGGATTATACTCCCACTGAGAGTCAACAACTGAGATTACATATTTACACAAATCAGGTGCAATTAAATGGCTTAGGAGTGCTGCAGCATAAGCAACTTACTGGCAAGGACCACGCCACAACACACAGCTTAAAAGATTTCTGGGAGAGATTTGTGGATGTTGTTGGAGAAGCAAATTTGATGGAATCATGTAGGGAGAATTGCTGCTGGAGTTGGAGACTCAGAGTGTTGGTTCTGTCTCAGTACATTGACTCCTAAAGGCCAAATAAGGACCCTCCCAAATGTTAGGGCAGGCTGAACAAATATGTCAAGTGGGTGAGAGGTTACAGAAAATGAGGGATGAAGGAAGTAGAGATGAGAGGGATGATGGAGGTATGAACGAAAGATGGCGGCAACGAGGAATGGAAGAAGAACAGAATCCTTTGCTACATTCTTCTCCTTATTTGCTGTTATTTCAATTTTTAACCTTTTCCTTTTGTTTTTGTCTCTTCATAGAAGTTGCATCATGTCTGGCGTTCTGTTTAGTTGTGACACCTTCCTCCTGCAGTTGATGACTCGCTTGGTCCTGTATTTCAGTGTTTCTAGACAAGTTTATTGGCTGAGGTTTGGTTGTGACTAACTAGCTTTTAAAACCAGCTCAGAGATCATCTGTTTAGTTGCATTTTTCTCCAAGATGAAGTCACTAACGGAGCCGCCACTGCCATTCACTTCTTACTTTTCTCTAACGTAAAAGTACTTTTTTGCACCGTGCCTGGAGATGGCATGTGTTGTGAACAGGCACTATTTAAATGAACTAAATTGAGTTAAATGAGGTGCTGAAATAATTAATCATATAAGGGAAATGAGGTAGTGATGCAGGTTGAAGGATGTTGGGATGAAGAAAGAAGGAGTACAGGAAGCATAATGAAGAAAGTAAGGATAAGGAATTAAAAGAATCAATCGTGGATAAATGTGTGAGATGAATGTAAGAGGTGTGGATGGTGGATAATGAAGAAACAGATGAGGAAAGAAGAAGGTAGGAATGAGGAGTGAAGGAGGTAGGGAGGAAGAATGAGAGATGAAGGATCTCTGGATGAGGCAGGTATGAATGAAGGATGAAAGGATAAGCGAGGTAGGAATGATGGATGAGGAACCAGGACTAACGGATGACGACAGTAGAGTAATGGGAAAATGGATGAGGGATGTTAGAGATTTCGATGAAGGATGAGGGCTTAATGAGGTTTAGATAGGAAAAGAATGAGGCAGGAATACAGGATGAATAATGAAGGGATAGTGGATTGTTAAGATTAGGATAGGGGACAAATGAGGTTGGGATGGTGGATAAGAGTTGAAAGAGGTTGAATCGATTGACAAGGGTTGAAAAAGAAACCTCTGGTAGTAACAGAGGGTGGACAATGCTTTGCAGGAAAGTTGAGTATAAAAGACATATAAATGCAACCACACCTTTAATTACCCAGACTGCAGGGTAGTTAGATGGGTGGTTGAGGCGTGGTCCTGCTGCTAAACCATACTCCATTTGTATGACTGGCTTTAAAGAGTTCTCAGAGCACATGTTGTGGGGAAGTGATCGAATAAAGTAAAAAAATAAAACGTGTTTACAATCCCACACTCTCAAACATTTTTGATTAAAAGTAGAATCAAGATAACCAAAAGGTTGTAAATTTCCTTTAAAATCTTTTATGTTAGAGTTTAAAACCATAATGAATCCCTCTTTTAATTGCACCTCTGCTCATCAAGGACACAATTGCTATTATAGACATCAAAAGTAGGAACTTTTTATTGCCAATTAGCATATTAATTAAACTATCTTGCCCACACACTGCAATCCTGTTAAATTTTTATTGGAAAAATGAGGTGCCCAAATAAAAACCCATAAAAGAAGGTTCACTAAAATAAGACAAATTAAATTGTAGTGTAGTTTATGAGCTGCATTTTTTGTAACTGATTATCAAAAGTAAGCCTTCAGATATACATAATTCCTTATACCTCCACATCATATCTGAGTCCATGAGACAACTAAAAACATGTTGAATGACCCCAAATATGTACAAAAATGGGCCTGCTTGTGTCAGATGTGAGCTCAAGCAGTCAAAGACTCAAAGCCTTAAATCTACACACTGGTTCTTTAAAACAACATGCAGGCATTCGCATGGGGTAATCTGCTCAAACCACAGGTTATATTTGAGCTTCATTCAGGCTGGGTGAGTTTAAACTGGTCTTGACTTTTTCAGCTGTTTCAGGTTAGAGTGGAGGTAAGTGATGTCAATATAAATAAAATCAGTTTCAGGTACAGTGTATGAGCTGTGGGGCTACATCAAGAAATAGTTCAACATAACTTTGAATAGTTTGACATAAGTAAAGATCTGTCATAGAAAGGTGGAGTCTTCTGAAAATTAGCACATTTGCCTTTTAACAGCTGCTCCACTGATTGCAAAGTTCAGAAGTAAAGAGCACCTTTATGCAGAAAATTACTTCAAAAACCTTGTTCTGAAATCTGGATGCAATTCACTCCATTAGCAACACAGCCCTGCAGAAAACAGTGAGGGGAAACTTATGGTCGTCTGTTCAATAGAGACCATAATGTTTTTACACCTTTTCATTAACTTTTATACAGACTTTTTCTTACCTGGTCAAGGCAAAACTACAAGACTTACAGCTGTAATTGCAGTAAAATGTGGTCCTCACTTTCAGATAGTTCCATGAAAAGGCTATCAGTATTGTGAAGTACAGTTAGAGATTAAATAAAATGGACCATGAAGACTTATAATGAAAGATGTCTAAAGCATATACTGGTATTATAATTTGTATTTGAGTCTATCTACAATATTTACCATATCTTATTGATAGGGTGGAGGGTCTTTTGTTTCTGTTTTTGTCTTGTTATCTTTTGAATGTTAATATGTTTAAAAATGTCATTTCATTAAAATTGAAAATTAATAAAACAGCTTTGAAAAAAAGGTGGTTCCAGAAAATACTCGGGGGGAGGGCTACATACAATCCACATTACTTTGAAATATTTATTTTGTAAACATCTTTGTTCTTCTGTTTTACAGTTAAGCAGTATTTTTTGATGGTCTGTCTCTTTATAGGCTGCTTCATTTACAGCCTTTTGACTCGTAAGCCACCGAGACCACCACACATCCACACACAGAAACGCATTCCTGGGGGGAAACCTTACACCTTCCATATTTCAGCTCTCCAACAAAAACACCAGCTCCTCTTGCAAGCCCTGAAAACACAGAACTAACCGAGGAGAGGCTCAGCCAATCAGAATCTTTGTAGATTTCGATTTTTGTGCCAGCTCTTCAAGTATTGGTCCGAGTATTCCTTTGAGGCTGCCGCCCCTGTCCGCTGATTGGCTAGTTTTCCCGGCTCTAGTGAAGTCATTTGAATACGTTTCGCTTTGTGGGGCTCAGTCAACACAGCCCTGCTGGTTCAAATAATTGACTCAAATATCAGGAGCGGAGACACACAATGAAGAAGAGTGCCATACGGACACATTGCTGATAGACTTATATGATCTTTTTAGCGATAGTGTGGAAGACTGTACAGATAGTTTAGATAGACATAGCTCTTATTCGAGTTAAAGCGCTTTTATTCGGACTTTGAGCGCCGTAAGTAAGAGGTAAGTTTTTTTTTCTTTTTGCTTAAACGTTATGTCTACAGATTTAGGTGCACTTAAATGGTTTTCACTTGATTTTTTTTTCTTAGAGAATGTACTTGCATTCATTTTAATAATATTAAGTATCACGAAAAGACTGAACATCCTAAAAGAAAAAGCGTGATATCAACATGTTTCAAACAGTTTTTGGTTCTTTGAAAGACAAATGCAAAGTTTAGTCTCTCTAGGTGACAATAATAACGTCCAATTTCTTCCCTGTGGAGTCACTGCATTTGTTGTTGTTATTGTTTACCGCCCATGTGAGTTTATAATTAGACTGGCAGTCAGATAGAAGCAAACATTACTCACCCAGCACCTGTGGTTGCACAGCATGGTTTCTCTACAGTCAGCCTCTACTTTTTTTTAACTGTGTTATGACTCAGTAAGAAGCTCATAATGTGGAACAGGCGTGTGGTCTGCTGTGTGAGAGAGAAACTTACAGATTTTGAGTGTGTGTGTGTGTGTGTGTCTGTAGGGAAAGAATGGGAAAATGTGTGTGAAGCTTGATGTTTGGCCAGGCTTTATTCCTCCCTTCATTGGCTGTAATCTGGCACCTTCAAGCATCTTCCAAGCATTTTCTCTACAGGCAGCATAATTAATTATTGGTTAACCTTAGTTACTGTTACTACAGAAGCGAGAATATCAGATTTGAAAATAATGAAATAAAGTTACAATGTTCCATGTAGTAATTGGTGAAGTTTTGTGTTTTTATGTAATTCACGTTGAAATTAAATAAAAGCATAGGTATTTTTACTTTTTTTTTAATTTACCCTGCAAAAACTTGCAGAAAAACAGTACAATATATAAAAGTAATATAAAATACAGGATTTCAGTTTTATGTAACGTCTGTTTTAATGTAAAGATTTAAGCAGAAATGAAAACAGAATAAAGTAAATAATACCCCTCAGGTGCTTATTTTATAGAATATTTTAGCTTTTCTGGCAATGTGCAGAAACAAGTGGGGGAGGGTCTGTGCTGTGTGTGTGTGGTCCATACTGTAAACACAACTCTGGTCACTCTAGATCTCATTAAAAGAATTTGGAATGGTATTATGGAAAATTTCAACAAGCTTTTAAAAACCTTTGTGACAAATGGTCTGAGGTGTTCCTAGAGTCTTGAAAAGTCTGGAAAAATACATAATTTGAATGTTTTCAGACACTAGTCCTTATTCTATTATATAACAAATAAAAAAAAAAAAAGAAACGATCCTCCTGTCTGCATAAGGAGCTTTTTACACTGATTTATTTGGATGCTGTCCTCTGTCTTTAGTCTGAGATAACTTCTTGTCCAATTCATTGATTGTTTTGGTTTTTAAGCTGTTTTAAATATCCCATAAAATAAAAGCAATAAAATGACCACGCTGATAAATGTGAAGCAAATTTCATGATTTGTTGAACTTACAAGCCCCAAACAAATGGATGTTTTGCACTCAAATGCCAAGAAAGTTACAGAAATCCCAGCGGAAAGCTAGATTTCTTTCTAATTCTTTTTTTGGAGCACTGAATTAGATTTGTAGACAAGAGAAACTGTGTGTGTGGGAGAGAGCTTAGAGCCCCGCAGCTGAGGAGATAACGTGTCTTTATCCTTTTTTGTCTCTGGGTTAATACTGTACTAGCCTACCAAATGATCCAAGCAGCAGGTGTGTTTGTGACACAAACCTGAAACCACGAGGTATCCCTTGCTTCAATGCACTGCTGGATAACCTGTTTATCAGTGAATCTGGCTTGGGCTCTGGTTCCTTTATCAGATTGTCGTAATGGTCACTGGGTCTGCCTAAAGTGGCTGCAGGATCCCCCTTCTGACCCACACGCTTCCTCAAGCGTTTGTTTGGGCTCGGGGCTGTTTCCTCGTTATGTTAGTGGAGCACTTTTCCCGCTACGTGAATGACGTGGGAAAGCTGCATGATGAATTAGCTGTGAGTGTTACCCAGGCTGTTAAAGCAACATTCGGTAACCCTCAAACACACAAATGTGTTAAGTGGAAGCAAGTGGTTGATTATCTTTTTCAACTGGCATGAGGAAAATGCTAAAATATGCCTGCTTCTGTGAAGCTCACCTTATTTTGTGTTTATGTTGTGTTAGAACTAAAAATGCACCATTTATTGGTCGCTACCAATTTTTGGCTTTGTTTGAGGATACCGTGCATCCAGTCACAAGTTCCTCACCTTTATTTGTTTGTCATGAAATTAGAACTAGTTTACTAATGAAAATGCTACTTGATTATGTGTTTAAAGACAAAAAAAGGTGAGTTTTCACTTTATGCATAACAGATTTCATCCATCCATACTGAACTTTTTTTTTTAATTTACTGTATACTGTAATGTTTATTTTAAATGACTTGCATTGAAAGTGTGTGTTGTTTCAATTAAAAGTAAGCTTTTATTAAACCAGAAGTTTAATAAAATTATATAAAAAGTCTCAATATCCAACCTGATAATACAAGAAAAAAAAAAAAAACCCGGTTGATTTTGATCACTGGCTGATTGTTTAGTGCATCAGTTGTTAGAATGCATCCAAAACCTTAGAAGGTTACTCCTGATTTTAACTTTTTAACTTAATTCAACAGAGTTGCTGTGAGTGCAAAACCAAAATCAGGAGTAGCAGGAAGAACTTGCTAAACTAGTAAATGTATGAGTTTTGACCTCTGAGCTTTTCTTTTGACCTTACAACAAAGATGGTAGCTGAGATTTTTTTCTTGGTTTCATTTTCTACTCGAAATAACTTAATTTACCAGTTCTGTTGGCTTTAATCAGATCTTGTTAAATATACATATGAATCTGTTAGAGGTTGAGAGCATATCTGGGTGTAACCAAAAGTATTTAAATGGAAACTAATCACATCACTGTGCACTTTAGTCTTTCTTCGCATAACCTGAATGTCACCCATGACATCCATCCAGTGATATTAGAGAAATTTCAAAGTGAAACTTTTGCTCCCTTTTGTTTTCTGGATACTTGTGCAGCACATGTAAAACCATCATTTGCAATATGGATGACGAAGGATTCATGTCATCTAAGTCCAGGTTAACAAGTATGACTTAGGAATGTCCTTCAGTCTTGAATGCATTCCTTGCTCACACCTCATACCTGTTGTTGTCTTATTGGTGTCAAAGTACATGAGGTGCAGAGTTCAGCTGAGATAGCAGCTCTGGCACGTTTCCACTCTGACAAACTGTTTTACAGCTACTCTTATCAGATGCAGGTTGTTCCTTCAGTCCCAGAAACCTCCCAAATGTTCGGTGTGTGTTAACTGCTTCATGCTGGACTTCAGTCTTAATGAGGACAGGTTTCTATTGTACTAATTAAACTGTATTCTGCTTTCAGATAAGCATCCAGACTGTATAGAGCTTCACAAGTGGTTCCAAGGATGAAAGTTGTTTTTTATTTTAATTTGACTGGAAGTCTTTTGAATATCTGTGCAAACAGTTTTTTTGTTTTTGTTTTTGGTCAGCATGTACAGTCAATTTGCTTTGAATAAGCACAAAACAGAATGACCGAGGTAGCCGCGGACTGTTTGCATGCTATTTTTCATGAGTGCAAAGTTTTGCTGTCGGTCAGTGCTGCGTGTGCATAAATGTGAAACCTCAAAGTCTGTTTTGCACAATTTTTGGAGTTGCTGCTGTCTGTCCTTGAGGTTTACGAAACGCTTAAGTCAACACGTTGGTCTGGAGGTACTCCTTTTCCCAAGAGCACACAGACATTTACATTTGCACCTAAACATTAAGAGTAGATTATGACTTTCTGGCTCAAACTAAGGTTTGCTCGTACGACTGATTGAAAAATGATCCTAGGAGCCAGAGTGTGCGAAAGCTGCTGTGTGTGTCCAATGTGCTCTGATCTCTTCTGATCTCCTCCTGGGGGTCTTTGTGTTTTTGTTAATGCCATGACAGGAGAGATAATGCCTCTATTGTTGTAGAACCCCCACCATCTCGTTGGTCTCAGCAACGCACTGTGCTTGTTTTGAAACCATGCGGAACGTGGAAACTTTAAAGATTGTGCATCAGAAGAAAAAGGTATGCAAAACATTAGGAAAACAACAAGAAAAGCACCAAACTGTTTGAATCGATCAAAACTGACTTCAAAAAGCAGGCTAACCATTTTAGGTCTGTATGGAGAGATTTAGTGAGAAAGTAGCTTTTGACTAGATGTTGATTTCTAGCTTGAAGACTGCTGACTGACTGGTCGGAAACTCTGGAATCCAGTCTGTTTTCTATCAGTAAAAACAAAACTCTTTGGTATCAATGCAATTATCTAGAGAAGAAGACTCTTTCAGTATCGGTGTGAACAATTTACTTCTTATGAAAGAGAGCAAGAATTCCAGCTGATAACAAGAAGGCTGAACAAACCAAAGTGATGTTTTCAAAATATGTGCGTAATGGGGCACACTCTATTTGGAAATGTTGGAAAATTTTGGGAAATCTCCATCTTCTGCTGCTTAATGCTAATCATGCTAACAATAAAGATGCTAAGACAGATGAAGGTGTAATTTTTTTTTTGTCTTTATTTAAAATGTACACAAAATTTAGTTGAACAGTAAACTTTGTGAGATCGCCTCTGCTTCCAAAGTATAAATAATTAATGTGTGACTGAGGCAGAAGGCTATAAGAATACAGACAAATCTGAATTGTTTTTAGGCAGGATCGAAAGAAAAAAAATTTGAAAAAAAAAAAAAAAAAAAAAAAAAAAAGGGTCATCGGAAATTTCCCACAAAACAATGATTGGTGCGTTTCCAGTACTTGAGGAAAAGTTTTCTGCATTTCTGTCTACCCACATCAAACCGACCCATAAGGCTGCAGTTTCAAAGTTTGCAAGCGAGCGAATGCAAACAATCCCCTTTAATATGCAGCTATTTTGCCGATGCCATTTTTAATCCGTCCGAAAGGGAATCCAACCTATGATTTAGAAAGAGTGCAATTTCAGCACCGCAGTGTGGAAGCCACAACAACCCAAAACGGGGTCAACTATTCAGGAAGTGGGTCTGGAAAAATCGCCACTGGTTTCGAATTCCGAGACATGCTACCCCACTGAAAACATAAACACAGAGACACAGAGGAAATATTAGCCATTGGACTCTTATCTCAGCTTTTAACGCCTTTGACTTTGTTTTTCGGTAAAGACGCTGTGATCTTTTAACCGAGTCAGAAAGTTAACAGCAAGCTGAGATCACAGAGTGTAGAGTTGGACAGGCCTCCTCAGGCAGGATGCCAGAAGCTGCGGTATCCTTGTGACTGTGTGTGTGTCTGCATGTTTGCATTGCTCCTCCCGTCTTGCATTTGTGTGTGACTTGTGCATACGAGTCTGGATTATGCTGGCATCGGGGCAAGGCGCCATGGTGGATGAGGGTGTGTGAGAGAGTGTGTAAGATGTTGGCTGAAACAGACTCCACAGTTGGCGCAGGAATGGACAAACAAAACTCTGCTGGATTCCTGCGGGGTTTTCTGTTTTCTGGCACACGCGTGTGTGTGCGCCAAACGTTCCAGACGTATATATGCATGGGATTCATGGACAGTAGCAGGATAAAGATGGCTCCAGTGCTAAAGTACGCTCCACTGGCGATCTGGGATCAGCTTACCGACCTCGGATCCAATTATTTTAACTGTTAAGACAGAGAAATCATTGCTGACTTGAGAGATCATCCATTTGTCATGATGTTTTCCGCCCACATGCTGCACTACTGCCAACAAGTTCACTTCAAGAATGTGGTAAACGATACAGTGAAATAGGGTGGAGCACACATTTCTTACGAGCTCATTTGTAAAATTCCCAAGAAATGGACTCATTGGAGAATCATTTCCAAAAAAGATGGCTTTATAAAGCGTTGACAACACCAAATAACAAATAGAGGAGATCTAAAATTAAGCGATTAGGTGCGATTATCGTCACAGACACTTGCTGAGTCTCGGCTTTGAGAGACAGAGTGAGATATTTTCACAATAGCTGAACGCAGTTTAAACATCAACCACATTCCCAGGGCATGAGGTGGACAGGGATACTGTAACACCAGGAAATCTACAGCACTGCAGGAGATATAGCTTTGTCTTCATGTTGACTGAAGGGTAGTCAGCTAACTACAAAAGTAATACATTAAATAAAGCTGGATTAAATGATGTGGTGAGAACGTGTTATTATAACTCTGCCTTACTGCAATTAAGCCAGTCTTAAACCTAAAAAAACCCCATAATTTAAAACGGCAGCAGTGGCTTTTGAGGAAATGGTTCACCATAAAAAAGAAATATGATGGTTTTGGATATAAAGGGAATTAGTTGAAGTGAATTTGCTTCATTCAACACCTCTTTGAAACTTGTCTGGTTCAGTTTGTATTGATTATGGATATTTTACACTGAAACAGTGTTTGAAAATGACTGCTAATTATTTTTTTTAAATATACTCCACCCTTCCACCCACAACATATCCACACATTAAAAAAAAAATAAAAAATAGGGCGAGGACTTTACACGGCTTCACGATGCAGGCTTAGTTCCCCTTTTTGCTCATGTATTTCTAACATAGCATGAAAAGTGTGAGATTAGATGTTTTTACAACATGGTTCTAAAAACAAAAACTCACTAAACATATCTGGGGCAGAAAATGCAGATATGAAATTTAATTTATCATCTTTAATTTAATTTAATTCAATTCAATTATTTTCTTTTGTACAGCTCCACTTTACAACAGATTTGACCTCAATGCTCTTAAACCACCTGTAGGGTGTTTTCACACCTGATAGCTCTGTACACTCTGCTCAGTTGGTGGCCAAGATTGCAACATTTGTTAAATTTTCAGCTGGTGTGGTTCTCTTTCACACTGCAGTGTATCAAACAAATCAAACCCTTTTAAGAACCTGTTCCCCTCCTTGCCTGTGGTGGCGCTGCACCACAAACCAGTGAAGAAAGCGAAATGAAAACCTGTGAAGAAGACATGAGCGCAACTTCTTTTTTCGTAAACAAATGGAGCAGTGTTAGATTTTAACTGGTGTAGAATTTCCCGCTATGGCTAGAGTCATGCGTTTGTTTGGTTATACCAGAATGCCCCGTGCTGTAGTCCACATCCTGTTTTCGGAGCAGTCGCTAGTTCGCTTGCATTCTCATATTAATTCGAACCGTGCCAGAGTTCACTTCAACCAAACCGAGACCGAGGTTTTTAGGCAGACCAGATTTTGCTCTTTTGGTTCTTATCGGAGTTCGATTACATTTCCCCAAGCAAACCGGACTTTCTAGGCAAACGAACTAGAGGTTGATTAAAGCAGCCTCTAGCTTTAATCTAGAATACGGCCTAAAAGACAAACAGGTTTAAAAAGATCCAAGCTCAGATCCAGGTACTTACAGTCAAATTCAATCTTAACTTAATAGTGTACATTTAAATTAAATGCCACTTGGTTTAAAGCTGTCTATGTATGGAAGCCCAGCTAACTGTATGGAGATATTTTATCCTGAGCAAGCATGTGGTGAAAGTGGAAAGTAACCCCAGCTTTTTAGCAGCAGATCCATGCTCAGTATGAGTGCCCACCTCTAAAATCTTCATATTTGTGTGTCTTCTTTTCTTTTAAAGGTGATCATGCCCCCAACAACGCCCTACGCAGGAAAGTTCAACTCCTGCCCATCGTACGGCAACAACAACCATGTTCAGCCTCCGAGCCCGTACCACAGCGGCTCCGCTCCGAAACCGTCCAGAGACAACATCTACAACGGCCCCTACTCCCCAACCGAAAACCCTTACGATGTGCCGCAGCCTCACAGCGCGTATCGGACCACCTCCGTCTCCTCAGTGAGCACCAAGGAGCACCATTACGGCAGCAGCTGTACCATTTCGGAGAACCCGTACTCCTCGCCACAGCCCCACAGCCCTCGCCAGCACAGCACTTCCTGTCCGGGCCGAGCGTACCGCCACACGAGCAGCAGCTGCAGCAGTGAACACTCCTGCCGGAGCAACGGGGCTGCAGCGAAAGCTCGGCTCTACGGTCACGGCGTCGCCACCAGCTATGGGGAGATGTGTTATCACGACAACAGCTTGGTTTCAGCTTCTCTTGAGGCGCTGATCCAGCATCTGGTTCCCACTGTGGATTATTACCCTGACGTATGTAGCCATTCTACTTTTTTAAGGATTATGCGGTAAATTCTGTAGTAGTTGTAAAAGAATCCTAACTTATTTCTGCTTCCTGATCTTCAGAGGTCATATGTCTTCACCTTCCTGCTGAGTTCGCGCCTCTTCCTGCACCCATACGAGCTCATGACCAGGGTTTGTCACTTGTGTGTGGAGCAGCAGCGGTCCGGAGATGCCCTGCTGGATAAGGTGGGTGGACCTTCACACAGACACAGACACACACACACACACACACACACACACACACACACACACACACACACACACACAAACAAAGGCACAGACATGTGCAGGTGTATTTATTTCACACACTGTCACTCTCACTTAGTCCCACACAATTTCACTCCCACTAACAAACCCGCAAATCCAGGAGAATAAAGAAAGAAAGAGATCTCACTGCAGTGCAGCAGGGATTTAAGCCAAATCCAGATACCAGAGAGAAGAAGTCATATTCACACATAACAGATTTTAAATTATCGTCATGACATCATTAGACTGACTCTATGCCGTCCGCAACATGTTCAGATCCGTTTCCGTGAGGTGGCACCGAAACTGGTGCAGCTGCTGACGGAGTGGACGGAAACCTTTCCATACGACTTCAGAGACGACCGCATGATGCGATGCCTGAAGGACATGACGCTCCACGTGGCTCGAGGGGATGAGGTAAGCATCCAACCAGCCATCCAACCAACCATCCATCAGTTGGATGGATGGTTGGTCAGTCCATCCAACCACGTAACCACCCACCCATCCATCAAACCATCCAAACAACCAACCAACCAACCATCAATCCACTCAACAATGCAACCATCCAGCCATCAATCCAACCATGGGTGGACACATCCATTGAACCATCCAACCAGCCATCCCACAACCACTCATTCATCCACCCATCTTGTGTTTCTTCTGTTCGTCCAGCCATAAACTATTCTATCCATCCATCTATCTGTAGGAACCACACCTAGATTAGTGTCATTGTTTAGTTCATTTGTGTCTTCATGTGTGTCTCTAGTATTCTTGGCGGGCCATGCAGCAGATGACCCAGCGTCTCATCAAGCGCCTGTCCGCCCTCGGTCAGTACGAGGAAGCCGTGGCTACGCTCAACGCTGCGGCGCAGGAACGTCCCGCTTCGCTGAAGACCAAACAGGCTTCAGCTCAAAGGGCCGACATACTGAGCGCGTGCGACGATCCTTTCATCCTCGCTCAGCAGCTGACACACATTGAACTGGTAAGAGGTCGGATAACGAAAGGTTAAATAAGAATTAGGTTACTTTTAGCAGTTCTTTTGTAGGGCTTGGTGCCAGACGGTCACTCTGGTGTTTTATCTATTTTTAACACAGCAGACACATAAAGTAGCTAGAATACATTTACCATATTTTACATCAGCTGTCATTTTTTCTGACGTTTCTCTGCCTGATGTTTTGCCTTTAGGATAGACTGAGCTTCATTGGTCCTGAGGAGTTTATTCAATCTTTTGCGATGAAGGATCCTCTGGAAAACCACAAGGTAAAGTTGAGTGGAAACATTTTATGTGACTGACCAGCACAAGTTGGTTTTAATTTGTGAAATGGAAGGGGAAAAAAATACAGATTTCATTTTCTAGTTTGGGTTCATCAAATTAAATCCAGATGAAATACAATATAGCTTGTATTTGAAAGGTGATGAAATGTACTAAAGGTTGGATATATTTTTTGCAAGGTATTGAGTCGTGGTGTGCTTCTGACCAAATATTTCACACAAGTGTGATTTCTCATCCAGTCTTGTTAAATTTTCACATATTTTAGCCCAGACAGCCCGGAGCAGCTTCCTTTTGTTTTCAGTTTCAGCATGAGACAATGATAGGTTAGGGTTAGGGTTGCTTTATTCTCAAGAAAGCTTGAAAACACAGCAAAATAACCTGTTCATAATTATCCACATCAAAGTCCCGACCCAGACGAACCACACATTGTTGCTATTTTTAAGCCGTTTGATTTGAATTTTGATTTTTGACTGTGTTCTGGGCCTGCTTTGAGTGTTGTGGACATCTCCAGTTTGAGTTTATTTGCCACAGAAACCACATGAAAGAGTCTCGCGGCAGATAGAAGGGGACTTGTTCGGCTTTCTGCTTTGCTTTTATCTGAGCTCTTGAAAATGTCTGGAAGAGAACAAAAAGAGCCTTTGCTGTGTGCGTGTCTCAGTTCGTCGGAGAGAAGGTTCTTTTCCACGCCAAGAGACCCTAGAAATCAGCTGAAGGGTCGCTCTCAGTCGGCGTTTGCCGCTGCCGTGCTCCCACCTGCTTTGCTGCAGTTACATAAGAGCCACTTTGTGTAAAAGAGCAGTTGAGTCACTAAAAAAAAAAGGGGTCCCGAGGTGTAGAGAGGGGGAAGTTTGGAGTGGAGTGGGATGCCGGTGTTGTGTAAGCTTTTAGTGGCGCCTCAAACCTCTGGGATTGCATCATCACGGCCAGTTTATTTATACACAGCTTTCATAATGTTTATTTATGCAAGAGGACCTTTGGAAAACAGGTTTGCCACATTAGAAACCACGTGTTTAATGGAAAAGCCAGGGGACCCAGAAAGCATATGTACGTAAAAGGAGACGCGTCGGAGTGTGACGGTGGCAGATTGTGTGGGTGTGAAAAGCCGACAGGACCTATTAAGGAAGAAAGTTATGGAAGAGAAGCAGCTTTAAGAAATAAGCAGATGTGGCGCATCATGTGAGATTTTATCTCATTAGACCGAAGCAATTTTTTTGATTCTGTTTGAGATTAGTTGAGGACTATTCAATACAGAGCATGCATCATCCGTTTTATTACACTTCAGCCTGTTAAGCTCACAGCAGTTAAATTCATTTTAATGTCTGAAGGTGAGAAATATGTACAAACGTCTAAAAGAATTAAATTGAGAACAAGTGAGATGTTGCCAAAGACTATCAGACATCAAATAATTTGTTATACATAACATTTTGAACACCATACCCAAGGAATCTCATTTTTTTCAAACCCTGTCAACATACTTAAATTAGCAACCAAGCAAATATAACACAGCAGCAGTGAATGGAAGCAGCTAAAAATCTCACTTCTTTTCTTTTTTTTTGCAATGTAGCTACTCTGTAGTTGTTATTCTGACAAAACAAAACGAAGTACTAAAACAAAGATAATTATTTGCCAGTAAGGTTAGTTTAGTATCTGTGTAGGCATTACTTGGTCTGGTTCTGGAAGAGTTTCCTCCTTCTTTAAATGTTTACCAACAATTCTCTTCTTCCGTTCCTCCTCCAGGGTTTCTTCCGGAAACGTAAAACCAGTAACCTGGAGGCCTACGTCAGCTGGTTCAACAGGCTCAGCTACTTGGTGGCAACAGAGATCTGCATGGTATGTTTCACACAAACAAGCTGATTAGTTGTTGGAGAACAATCTCTAGTTCTTATAGTTGCACAATTTTGATGGGAATAGTAAACTTAAATAACCAAAATAACTCGACAGTGCCTAACAAGGAAAAGTATATGCACGTAAACATGCTGTAAATGTAAATGGCGTTTAAGCTCTTCCTATATTTAGAAGCAGATTTTAAATCTTTTATTTCTTTTTATTCAAGCCAGCGAAGAAGAAACACCGAGCGCGGATCATAGAGTTCTTCATCGATGTGGCTCAGGAGTGTTTCAACATCGGCAACTTTAACTCTCTCATGGCGATCATCAGTGAGTATTTGATTCGTTTTTATTAAGAATCTGTACCAGTTGTCCTGTAATTTTTGGTAATTTTTGCTGTAAAACATGGCAAGGAGAAAGAAAGAAAAAATCAACCGTTGCTCTCTTGGTGTCTTTGTAGAGCAGAGCCACTGAATTGACTAAAGCCAACAAATGCAGTGCCAGCTGTAGTTTAGGCTGACTTTAATCAGTTTAGGGGAGTCTAAACTCAGTTAGCGGAGGCCTGGAGCTCTGCAGGCTGCGCTTCGTCTCTAAACGCTTTCTCCTGTGTCTCTCAGCTGGGATGAACATGAGTCCGGTCGCCAGACTGAAGAAAACCTGGAATAAAGTCAACACAGACAAGTTTGAAATCCTGGAGGTCAGAATTATTCACACACACACGTCAGCAGTTCGCAGATTAGATGCTCTAGTTTTCAGCTCAGCTGTGGATCTTTGAAACGTCAGCAGTGGTTTTGTTGCCTGCTGACGTCCGATGTGTGTGATCTCATCCAGCACCAGATGGACCCGTCTAGTAACTTCAGCAACTACCGCACGGCGCTCCGCGGCGCCACCCAGAGGTCCGAGACCGCACATAGCAGCCAGGAGAAGGTGAGGGAGCCCGGAGCATGCTGCTCATTGAAAAAGAAAAACATTCTTCTTCTACATTTAAAGTAACTAAATCTCCTTCCTGCAGATTGTGATTCCGTTCTTCAGCCTCCTCATTAAAGACATCTACTTCCTGAATGAAGGCTGTGCCAACAGGCTGTCAAACGGACACATCAACTTTGAGGTCAGTTCAAAGCATTTTTCAAAATAAAAACTGGAGAAGTGACTTTCTCACACAGACCAACAGCTCCCCCTTGTGGAGGAGCTGTTGAATCGCATGAGAGTTTCTAGTGGAAATTATGAGACAAAACTAACTTAGAAGAAACTTCAGCAAGAAGTAGGAACGTGTTTTAAGACAATTACTTTTTATTTATGGAAAAAGCACTTGCTATAAGTGAAATAATCTGCCAGTGAAACAAGACATTTTAACTTATAATATGGGAATTTTTTTTCTTTCTTCTTCTGAAAAATTTCAGAATTTGAACCTTTAGAATGTGTGGAAACTGGACAGATTTCCTGGCTTTAGAAACCTGAACAGATGCATGTCATCACGATTATTGTTTTCGCGACATTTTTACAGAAACTGTGGGAGCTGGCGAAGCAAGTGAGCGAGTTCCTGGTTTGGCGCCAGGTGATTTGTCCATTCGACAGAGACCGCCGCATTCTTCAGTATCTGGTCACCACGTCCGTTTACACCGAAGACGGTCAGTACAAATTAGAACACTTTCACATCAACTATCAATTTTGTAAGCCACGGGGAAACGAAGCTCAATTTGTGTTGTTGTTGCAGAGCTGCACCTGGCCTCCTACGAGAGCGAAGGACCAGAAAACAACATGGAGAAAGACAGCCGCAGGTCTCTGAGGTGGGTGCAGCAACATTTTCGATAAATAATTCATATAGGGAAATAAGCCAATATGGAAATTAATAACTTTTTCTTTGTTTTAACTTCCAGATCTTCCCTTCTCCATCGAGAAAACCGCTCTTAAGACGTTTTCTCTACTTTCGATTTATATTCCCAAGCCCAAAGTTTACATTCTGGATCCAAGCGAGCTCCTGCAGAACAACGGATGCAGCTTAAGCATCATCAACAATAAAGAAGTTCTTTTCAACCCTTTGGGACTACAACGAGTGCCAGTAATTTTACATAAAGAAAAACTTAAGTGCCAGAAACATAACTCCATCGTGAAGCTAGGATTTGTTTTTTGAAGAAAAAACAAAAAAACATCTAAACACACTTAAAGGACAACAGGCAAAAATGTGCATGGACTTGTATTCCTAAGTACCAGTGAACAGATGTTCAACATGTTTACAGCTGCTGAATAAGAGTTATGGACAGAAAGAGCCATAATGAATTAATTTGTGTCATAAATTACAGACTTTAAGTTGCTTGTACACGGTGGTGCGGCTGTACCTTCAACTGATCCATCTCAATTTGGACAGTAAAGTCATGTGATCACTATTATCTGCAATGTGCGATGTGGCTCCATGTAAAACTACATTATGAAAGTGACAGCAGCATCATGCGAACAAAATGCACCTGAGTGTGTGTCCCTGTGCTGTGTATCATAGTATTCTGTGACTCCAGCTCATACGAGTCATCGTATTCTTTCTAATCATGTCGTATTTTGTATCAGAAGCTTAAAAAGTGTTTTTTTTTTTGTTTCACGATGAGCTTGTTGCAGGTTGGCTGGCTCTGTGATGGTAAGCTTTTACAACACCAGTTCATGTATTATGTTAAAAACAAGTATTTGTTTAGAGTGAAGTAAAAACTGTATGTGTGTGTATGTGTGTGTGTGTATAGAGATGATCCAGCCCCTCTTATCCCGCTTGTAGATTTGTGCGAGAGAACCTTTAATATCCAGCTTTGGGTGAAAGTGATGATGCATTTTTCATGGTTTTTTTTAAAAGGCACAACGTCTGTGTGTCATTTTGTTATATATTTTTTTAAAGATTCTTGTGCATCTTTTATGTTATCAGGGGGTACTTGTACGAAAGATTTTTTTTTTTTTGTTGTGAAAGAGACATTTTCTCTTTTGAATAAACAGAATATCAGTATTTGGTTTCTTTGTTTTTCCTTAGACACACAAACACTTTTACATACACATTTTGTTGCAACACCGTCCGTTTTAACTATCAAGACGTTTATTTACAACGCACAGAAATTTAGACATTAACTTCTGGAAGTAGGTGTTGGAGATCTTTGGTGAAAAAATTAAATAAAATCTAGACTAGAGAGTGAAAGTTGATCCACTTCAGCGAGAACGAACTCTGGTGAAGTTGATGCAGCGCCCCTAAAAGACAACAGAAAGGTGGATAGTGTTGATGAACATGACCAAGAATAAGTCTTAAAAAGCACAAATGATTTATCTGAATGTGGTTGTGGAAGCAATTTGACAACTTTAAAACCTAAATTAGGCTTTCAAATAAAGTCATGATACATATTTGCTAAATTACTTATCTTTTCTATTTTATGATTTACTTGTGTATATCATCTGGTTCCCTTAATATCTCAAATTTAGGCAGAAGAACTCCACAAAATAAAAAAAAACAAAAACAAGTAATTACCCAAACGCTACAAGCAAACAACCAATTCCAACCATCAAATACTGCTAATTACAGTAAGCTAAGTGCAGACAGCTGTTATTTATCCATCTGGGTGATAATAACTAAGATTAACGCTAAATACGTTTTATCAAATTAAATATGTTTATTAATTTTAAAAGAAAATGGATATGTGAAAACCTGTTCTGGAAAACATAAAAGTAATCTATAATTTATAATGATCAGATTCATTTGTATTTGGTTTTGTGGTGAAGTATCGGATCTGTTCCTTGCCTTGTCCTGAGGTGTTGGCCTCATGATTGCCACTCTGTCGTACTGCCTTCCCAGTAAAGCCAGCAGCGCATCAATACGCCCCTGAAGAAGAGGACATCAACGTGTGATTTTTGCATGAAGAAAATTTGCATTAAATTGCCTAAATGTCATTTATTTCAGAGACCGTATGGATAAGTTGGATCCTATGATCTCACCTTGATGGGAGTGTACCATTTGGTTTGGGTCGGGGAGTGGTAAACAGGTGGAGGTCTTGGCGGGGGCCGAGGAATGATGGGTTCCTCCACTTCCTCTGGTATAGTGACCGTAGCATTTTTGGCTTTTTCCAGTCGCGACCCTTCCTCTGTGGATCCCATCTGGCCCCATCTCACCTACAGGAAGTGGGCACACACAAACTTTACAAAAATAAATCCTGAAAAGGTTCTCCAGCTCACACTCTAAAATGTTCACCTCCATGCGTCTGATTCCTCCAGGACCTCTGCCTCCGTAATACGAAGCATCTACTGTAGGCCACTTGTGTTTAGGCAGAGGATCCTCTTCTGGTTCCTGAGTGAAAAAAACATCAAAATATACTTTACAATAAAATTAGGGAGTAAAATAAATATACACAAGATTACGCCTTCAAATTTGGATGTCTACATTCACTATTTTTTTTTTTTTTTAATCTAATATGATCTAATCCAGGGCTGCACAGTGGCACAGTTGGTAGAGCTGTTGCCTTGCAGCAAGAAGGTTCTGGGTTTGATTCCCAGTCCCGGTCTTTCTGCATGTAGTTTGCATGTTCTCCCTGTGCATGTGTGGGTTTTCTCCGGGTTCTCCGGTTTCCTCCCACAGTCCAAAAACATGTCAGGTTAATTGGCCTCTCCAAATTGCCCCTAGGTGTGAGTGTGTGTATGCATGGTTGTTTGTCTCTGTGTTGCCCTGCGACAGACCGGCGACCTGTTCAGGGTGTACCCCGCCTCTCGCCCGGAATGTTAGCTGGAGAGGCACCAACAACCCTCCCGACCCACTAAGGGACAAATGTGTAAAGAAAATGGATGGATGGATGATCTAATCCAAGTCAATAGACACTAATTGCAACTGTGACATGTTAGTCAGGCTAGAAGTTAATCTCCACCATGACAGAAATATAAGGGATTCAGTTTTCTCACTAGAGCTCAACAAATGAACTCTGCCAAAGCATTTCTCTGTCAGCCTCCCAAGCTCCACCGACGCTCCTTCTGTGTTCACCCAAAATTAGATCTTCTCTCAATCACCTCTGCCAAGATGGCAGCGTGAGTTATACCGCCCAAAAACATGGAGGTTCTTCAGAAAAGACTTTTTTACTTACAAAAACAGGAGGTGGTGGAGGAGGACGAGAGGGAGGTGGGTCCCTGATGACCTGTGTGAAAACAATATCAAACATTTTAAACAGTGGTAAAAAAAATAAATAAATGAGAATTACAAATGTCAACCTTCAGCATCCTTGTTACATGTAGTTATAAAATACTTCTTATGAAAAGAAATTAAAAGTAGTAAGAAGGGGGGGGGGGAGGAACACCCAGTTAATGGTGTTTACCAATATTTCCATTAGTAGTTGGTAATCAGAATTTATGGGCTTCAAATCAAATAAATCCACCAGAATAATCCAGACTAATTTTAGCTTTATGGGACACTGGATTTCTAAGAATTAGATTTTCTTTTTTTATTATTTTTAATACTAATTGTATATTGTCTGTCTGAGACTGCTTGAAAATGCTACGTTATATATATTTAGCAATATATTATTATCTGTATGTCATGTAATTATAGGCACACTTTTGTTTTTGTGTGTGCTCCATTAGTCACCAAGTGAAACCCTAAATCCAATATGACTTCTGTAAAGCACAGTAACGTCTGTTTACCTTGTTTATATTTGCTTGTCAGACGTTTTATCTCAGTCACAAACATGTAAAACCTTTAAACCGACTTAGAAACAGAAAGAAACTTGGGTTGGCCACCTTTGTTTTCAGTGACAATTCCTCCTTCACAAGTGACTCTGGCGCCATCTCTGACCGTATGAAGGAGGTTTCTCACCCAGTTTCCAATATGGCTGCCTCATTTGTAGAATTTAGTCATTTGTCCAGTCTTAGGCAGTAATTAGCACTTTTGAAAGCATGTACCTCAGTACATTAGTCATACATATAGTACTACTTAAGTGTGGCTAAGTAGTGCTATATGCTTGTTAGGGAGCAGGCTGATAAATAAGCTTTCTTAGTTGTAGCTTAAGTAGCTACACTGGCTGACAGTTCCAAGAGAATTTACTTTGCTTTTTGAGCAAACCAACGTCTAACTCTATTTGGTTATCTGAGATGTGACTTAAAGGAAACACAGGGTGTTGTGTGGTTGGTTGGCATTTTACAAAAAAAACAAAAACCTGATAAACAAAAGAATATGGAAATAAAAGAAAGATAAACTTACCACAGTGCAGCAGAGAGGCCAGAACCACCAGAATAAACCAAGAGCCAGTAACAGCAACAAAGCCAGCAGCAGCCACAGCACCCAGATCCCATCTGACTGCAGCAAACAAGGCACAAAATGTGTGATCCCCATTAACTGTGCAAATATAATTATGTATGTATAAAACATAAAATAAAAAGTGCTGCCTACACTCTCTCTCAGATTTACTCCTGCACCAACAGAAAGGTTGTTTTATTTAGCACAACAGAGTTTAAATTGATACCCACGCATGAGGTGGCATATATGGCGACGGGAGCGGAGATGTACGACTGTCCATTGTTCAGGCTAATCAGCACTTCAACTGATCTATAATCAACAAACAGAGGCACTGAAAAAATCATCAGAAGAAGACGACACATTACTCCAACAGCATCTCCCAGGAAAACATCCGTTGTTATAAAATAAACTGCCGAGTCCTGAGTGAGAAGGCAAAAGTACCGAGGTACCCAGATATCAAATTAGGTTACACTTGGAGATAAGGCCTCGAGGGAAACAAAACAAAAATAAAAAGCTTTTTTTGTAATTATGCTTGGACTAGATTTTCTTATTCACTGCTGTAGATTATGCAGAAATGTGGATGATCTGATCTGAGATTTCAGATCTGAGATTTCCAAAGATTTCTGCCGTTTGTAGAGATTTTTTTCCCCCCGACCGTATGGATTTATTTGAGGTCCATATGGTCAAATTGACTTTGGCTCATTAAATCCCAGAGATATCCAGGCCACACTCCCTTTGCTTTATCCAAATCCTGGAGGCAGCTTTACACAAACACTATACTGGTTTCTCTTTTAACACACTCAGAAGCATTTCATAAAAAAACCCCCAAAGAAAAACAAACAAAACAAAACATTTCTAAAAGTTATAATTAAGGATTCCAAGGAATATATGAGTAACAAAACAGCCAATGTACACACAACTGCCTTTACAATAAGAAGTCAATTAGAGTGCAAAAGAAATGTGAAATGATTTCCTTTCACTTGGATCACGTGACCCAGATTTTGTTCAATTCATTCATACAAGGCAGACGTTCGCTGATCCAAAGAAGACAGGAAATGGCTGCGAGGTAATACTTAATCAACCTGATAATATATCCAGCAATTATTAAAAAGTTTAAAATTATAGGTACATGACAAACCCACTTTACTGTGCAATTATAGTCTGAAAAAAGTTTTTGTATTTTACTGTCACAATCTAAACAATCTTTGATTGTAAGGCAACTGCTCTTATGTACAGCTCATTAATAGTTGCATTAGTTTGCAGACTTACTGTCCAACCTCATACAGACGAGGAGCTGGACACAGCAGGTAGCCATCTTGGACAACTGTCGGCTTCTCATCTGAGAGGAAAAACACAGAAACAGAATAAATCCAAAAAAACAGGGCACGTTGTACAAAGCTGGAGATATTGTACACCAATGGCATGCAGTGTTTGTTGCTTTGACATTTAACTTTAGAGGTAAAATCATTTTAAAAAGTTAAGCATCTTTGTTAGATTTTCTGTTTAAGTTGATTTTTTTTTTAATAGAAACCACTTGGGGAAGTTGGGAGTTAAGTAAACACTTTCCCTGCATCCTACAGCAGCTCAACAGGAATCACATGCTGCGTGCACTCGTCCTCTCAGTGACACTGACCTCAGCGCAGCTCATGCCATCGATCTGCTAATAGACTAATGGGCAGAGAGCATCTCTTCCCTCCCTCTGCTCTGCCTCATAATGTCTCCTCTGTTCTCGCGCCACAACTGATAAAAGGCAGCTACTGTTTGTTTCTCACTGCCATGACTCCCGATTTTCCATTGCAGCTCAGATATCTGCACACTGTTCCAAGTGGCACTTGATAGTTTTTCCCCCCGTGAGCGATGTGGCGCCATGTCGATGTTCCATGAAGCATTGGCGCAAACAGATTCCCTCGGATAGATTACAGCAGTAGCAGCAAGTAGCAGTTTCTAAAACCATGAACGGGTATGAGATGTCGTGAGCGTGTCATTTACGATAAGTCACTTGATTGGCAGTGAGAGAGCAGAGAAGGTTGTCGATCCTCTTGGTTCCGCTAAATCCGGTCCCCTTTAAAACTACGTTGAAAGACTCTGGAAGATAACAAAACGGGAATGACAAGAACACTTATTGAGTGACTTTTCAACACACTTCAAGACTTTAAATAGTGTGTGTCAGCTTTTATTATCAAAATATCAAATCTGTCTGATCTTGAATTTCAGTAAATTCATTTTGTGGAGGGAACAAAATCTAAAACTAAGTGGCATTTGTGTAGCAGGCCCACAGCATCACAGATTCTCCACCATACATTTCCACGTTTACATCCTTTTTTTTGGACCAGATGCAGCTTCATTGTTTGAAGAGCTGAACAGAAACACCAGTTCCAGTTAAAGTCCCAATAAAGTTTACAAAACTCTATATTTTTTTTAAAACCACATAGCTAAAAACATTTGGTCAGATTCATATTTTGTCTGATCATGCAAAAAAAAAACAAAAAAAACAAAAAAAAACACAGAGAGTAGCATGAAAGAAAAAAAACATAAAATAATGAAAGAGAACATAATAAAAAGTATTTGCTTATTTTCAACCTCTTAGCCTCCAAATAGCCAAGCTATAAATGTGAATTACAGAGTAGCTCCAAATCTCATGTTCAGATCTGCTGAGAATATAAATTAATTTTTTCATTAACTTAAATTTAATTAATAGGACCTGATGTAACATATGCCACCATCAGATGGCAGCTCAAGCTGCATTTGTGACTTTTATACAACGCCAAATAAAACGGACTTGATTGGAGAATCGCTGGCAATAATAAATGCTTTTTCAGCCATCTGGAAGTTTCTTCAACCTGCCATTCTTCCACTTTTAACACACTTTAATCTTCACAGTTGTAGTTATTCTAGGAATTTCATGGCAGATCTTCGATTTCTGAGGCGGATGGAGAGGAAAACATCAAAGTGGATCAAAACAATGAGCACTTCAAGCAGGTTTTCTCCTAACTTTTACCTTCTAGTTCATCCAAAATATTCTAAACTGAATTAAAGTCTGCAAAGGCTTGTCGGCTTTAAACCGTCACATCAAATTTCTGTCGTTCTGAAAAATAATCTCTGAAGTTTGTCATCTGAAATGTTCTTATTCAGTGCAAGATAGGATGCCCCCTATGTTTATCTGTAGGTGGAGTTTTCCTCTTCCTCATGGCATCATTTAGTTATACATAAACAACTACATGCTCACATTTCTACAGAGCCCCATAAGTCATAAGAAAATATCAGAAGATGTATGACGTTATGATTTGGGGTTGGGACCAAATGTGAGTAATAGACAATTAAAAAAAATCTAATTTTTATGAGAGAAAAATATGAAAATGCATATATAAATATTCAAACCCTTTTCTATTTGAGTCAAAACTGAGCGCATGAACTTCCACTGATTACCCTCGACATACTGCAACTTGATTGGGGTCCTCCTGTGGTAAATTCAGCTGACTGAATATAATTTATAATTGAGTAAGCCATTTTATTATAAAGTCTCCGTAGACTTCTAAAACTGGATCGTGCAAATCTGGGCGAGGAAGAAGGGAATCAGTCAGAGACGACCAAGAGCCATAATGTTTATCAGGTGGAGATCTGATGTTCCCCAAGTAGATCTGAAGCTTTCCCCAATGCATTCCAACAATCAGGCCTGTAATTTGTCTTCCAACACGACGACGAACCAAAACACACAGCCGAGATAACGAAAGGAGAAGTTTCAGGAGCAAACTGTGAAGGTCTTTGCATGTCCCAGTCAGAGTTTAAATCAAACATATCTGGACAGATAAGAGTAGAAAACAACCCTTCAGTAAAATATTAAGCCAAGCAGAGGAGAAACCAGTCAATGCTAACGTGACTAAATCAACTCTCGTGTTTGGTCTGTGGTCAGGGAACGGCCTCTTCAGATGTTCAGTGACCTGCAGCGTTTGGAATGACACTCAATGGCCAAAAGCAAAGAACAGTTTTGATTACACAAGTCTGCCTCAGCAACACATTGCCAAGTTGAATTCGCAAAACACACCAGCAAGGTAGCCTCACCCTATCCAACTTCTGCAACAGTTTTGAGGACATTATGTAGATGAAATAAGTTTTCTCCAAAGGATTTGTTTTATCGTTTAGGTCTGGAGTCACTGGAGACCAAAACATCTTAAAATGTTTCCCAAATGAATCTTTTAGAAATGTAAGACACTCCCAGGCTAAATCATCCAGTAAAAAAAAATTACAAATATATCTAAAAATGTATAAAGCAATGAACTAATTAATCACATGGTGAATTAATATGAGCTCAATAATTTCCATTCTGGTGATTAATATTTTTTTAAAGGGAAATTTTGTTTACACAGACATGATTATCCATTTTATTTCTGGTTTCTGTTGGATGTGGGTTTTTTTATGTTTTATTTGTTGTGTTTGGTTGTGCTTTATTTTGGTTATTTAAAATATCTTCCAGTTTCAATCTGAATGGTTCTTTACAAAGTTAAAGTTTATTGGTTTTAGAGAGGGCGAGCTGGCATTATTATTAACATACCACTTGGAAAAGGTCTTAAAACAACAATGCAATCGATTATCACAATCATTTTTGTGAGAATATATTGTCCAGGAAAATTTGTTATCATGACAGAACTATAAATAGCAAAAACAAAAAGGTCACTCCACATACCGACACAGTCTTTAACAATTATTTGACTTTTTGGGACAACCTTACAGACAAAACAAACCTACCGTTCACACAGACGCTGGACGGCTCTATTGTGAACACGTCGCTGCACGACTGTTTCAGGACCTGCAAAGCACAAAGATGATACCAGACAAGACTGACGTGCCGTTTGCATCACTTTGTGCAGATTTTCCGGATCGGATTTTACAACACAGACTTACCTTGTTGACAACGTCTTTGAGGGCATGAAATCCAGAAAGAACCGGAAACACTTGTTCTGTGCCGTCTGCTATCTCTGCAAGCTGTGACCAAAGTAGAAAATGTTTTTAATACAATTCAAGTTTATTTGTATAGCACGTTTAAGAAACGAGGTAGTTAAAAGTGCTTTATATCATACACTGGTTGAACTACAGGGAGCCATGGTAAGGGTTAGGGTTACGGGTTATGTGCTCTATATCTTCCTGTTTTTAGTGAGAACGCCAACAGCAGCATTCAGAACTGAGAAGACACTGTTGCAGTAATCAATGAGACTGAAGATAAATGAATTGTTTGAGTTTCTTTGGAGAGGAAAGCTAGTTAGATAGACATAGAGCGTTGAAGGGGGCCAAGTGGATGGCATTTCTGAAGAAAAAAGCACCTGCTGAAAGTTGACTGTCGGGATTTTAAGTCCAAAGGTAATTTGAAGTGAAGCTCTGCAAGTTCATCCTGTCGCCTTTCAGGGAGGTCTGCGCCCTGTGATAACACGATGCTCTTTGCTTCAGCAACATTTAAGGAGGGCAAGTCTGTTCCTAGGAGATGAAAGCTCCGGCCAGCTGTCTGCAGCCTCCAGCTAATGATCGCAAAGCAGGAAGTTTCTCTGGCATTATATCATTAGAGAGTGATTTAATTACTTCCTCTGTAGGCCAGTGAGAGCTGTGGGTCTGAAACTGGGCAGAAGATCGCTTGCACTGAAGACTTCAAAGGACATTTAGGGAGAGGAGCATCTTAGCATCATATTTGATATTATTTTTCCACACATACTGATAGCACCATTGATGCTGACACAACTCTAAGATACACAGCAAGATGCAATAATGCCGTATATCATTTCTCCAATGTAATTACAGTGTTTTCCTTTGCCTTCCAAATCTCATTAGGAGTAATGAGGCACTGCAGACTGTGGAAAAGACCACATGTCACAGCAGAGAAGTGATTCTCAATCACTGTGGGGTTTTAATGTATGTGGCTTTATTCCCCCGATGGTTCTTACAGTCAACAAAGGATATTCCTGTTTGTCCTGCTCAGACATGAGGATGCATTCTTAAAACTGCACATTGGCTTCTCTCAGACTAGTCAAAATCTCATAAACCCGGATCTCCAAACACCTGCCAGCTGCTTACTTTTCATATCCCGGAAGGGTTCGGTTGACCTCAGACTAAACAAGAGTGTCAAGGAGGGTTAGTGGGACAGAAACAACATTATAAATTATGGGTTTTCTTTGAGTCCCTCTTACAGTCTAACATAGAATTACCCAGACCGAAAGGCAAATAAAAAGTCATTATTTAAACAAGCTGCTTCTCTCTCACGGTTCTAGGCACACATGTGAATGAATAGTAAAAGAAGAGAGGTACTTCCTACCTGTTTGTGATCAAAGTCCATGACCCCGACACAGTACACTCTGGCTCCAAATCCTCTGGCTTTGTCCGCCTGGGAATCACAACACAGGAAGGGGAATTCTGCTTCAAACAACACAGTTTACGAGATCAGAGCAGATGAATGTTACTACAAAAAAAAATGGTAATTAGGGCAAAGTAATTCAAATTAAACCCTTAGTTCAGGCAGAAGTCAGCACTGACAAAAGCCTTAAAAATAAACAATTTTTGGTCAAATTAGATTAAGTTATTTTCCAGCTATGTTCCTCATTGGTTTATACATAAATATAGTCCAGCTGGAAAAAAAAATGAAGTGGGGATTATTTCAAACCTTCCCCACACCCACATCCTCTACTAGACTTATTTTCAGTAGCTTGTGTTTCTGTGTGTGTGTGTGTGTGTGTGTGTGTTTTACCTCCTTCACACTCATTTCATACAGGTAGATGTCCAACTTGCCATCGGTCAGAACAATGATGATACTGGATGACAGTGAAGTTTGAGTCTTCATCTGTTCTGACACCTGACAGGCGAAATATTTCATTCATTTATCTGAATCATTAAGTTCAAGTTGTTCAGACGCCAGGCAATATTACCTGGTTCACAAAAACTGTCACGAGTTAAAAGCTGAGAACCAAACAAGAAGCTCTTGCTCCAAAATGAACACTTTGAAGCTCAGACTTGTCATGTATGATCTGAAGAAATGTTTTTACAGTCTGTAAACACAAAAACTGAGCGGTTCAGCCATAAAAATAAGAAATATGTTCAGGAGAGTCTAGGCTTTCAAAGCTAGAAACACTGAACTAACTCTGCACAAACCAAATCTTTGTCACAGAAGTAAACGGAACAGTGTTGGGGCATCTTCCTCCCATTTCTTTAACTTAACTCAATAGGAACCTTGAACACCATTGGATATACTTGTATAGGTCAATAAACCAAATCACATATCCAAACCCTTTTGATAATAGATATAGTGGACCCAACTATATCAAGCTTTTTGGAAATGCCTGGCCAAATCCCAACCTCAACCCTACTGTGGACTGCGCTCAAACGCCAGATCTGTTCCAGGAAAACAATTATTTTAATTGAACTCCACTACTTCTGCCATCAAGAGGTGATAAATATCCAGACAGAATTATCGCAGGAGCTAATGAAGGGCTATAAAAAGTGAGTGGTTGAGGTGCAACTTGCTGTGGAACACACCAACTAAAATAGATAGCATTGTTGAGGTTATATGCATTCCTACGACCAAACAACAAAATAGTTTTATGAGATTATGATTAACAGCTTACCGCTTTTAAGCCTTCGTGCATGTATGTTTCACCAGAAGGTTTGATTTGTTTCAGCGTGTTTAGACCCTCCTCTATTTTAGACCTGTTGGAGAAAATCACAAAACAATATAGGTTTGAGAAAAATGTACATTTCTGTGCATTGTTTTTAGTTAGAAAATAAAAGATGCATTGTAAAACAGAGCAAAAAAACGAATAAAAAAAATAGGTGAAAACATACCTGTCTCCTGTTAGAGGGAGTATTACATACGCTTTGGATGAGAAGACGATGTAGGAGACCCTCATCCTGGGGCTGAAGCACATCACATTACCAAGCATTATCAAACACTGAATGTGTTGAACGTTTCCCGAAAGCTAGAGCTAAAAATTAACTTCTACTCATTCTGCTGCTTTTGCTTTTTAATATCTTTTAAGTGGGGTAGTGGCTGCAGAGGTCAGAACGAAATTTAACATCTGTTGCATGCTAAAGTCCAGTTTTCCCCACCCTGCTATTAGAACTAAAGATACCACACACCATTACCCAGAGGAGTTCTTGAGCAGTTGTTGGCTTTGTGTGATGTCTGCAACCTCAAATAGCCGTGCCCTACTTCTCTTTACCCTCTTTTGTTGGACTGTATTTAAAGACTAGCCACTACTTAAATAGTTTTGGTTTGCTGCGTGTTAATGTCTGTTTCTGAATGCGTGACTTGTAAAAGTTTGGGGTTTTTTTTAATCTGCAGGAGAAGGATATTTGTTTCTCCCTCGATAGTAAAAAAACAAAACAAAAGAGGAATAATGTGTAAAACCTTTATTTGGATTACCTGACAAACTTGCTGGTGAGTTGCTCCACAAAGCCATAGATCTCGTTCCAGTGTTTAGAAACACTGCCTGACCTATAAAAACAGAAAAAAAAAACAAAAAAAAAACACACAAACACTTTAAACGTTGAACATTGTGTAACAAACCTGAATTTATTTTGGATTTTATGTGACAGATCAACAGCTGGCCACAAGACATTTTGGGTGCACATGGTTGGTGTTTTGTCCATGCAAAATGGTATGAGTGCAAGAAAATTATCTTTGCACAACACATTGAAAGCACAACACGGTTTGAAGAAAGTTGAATACAAGCAAATCTTGACAGAAACCCTGTCAACAGAAGAAAAAAAGATTGAGACTGGGGTGGAAGTTCACTTTCCTTCAGGACAAAAACCCTGACAACAATTTATGAGTTAGAACGGCCCAGTCAAAGTTCAACTGCAAACGTGATGCAAGATTTCACATGAGCAGAAAACTATTTACTAACACTCTCCATAACAATCGAGGTTTAGCTGGCTTGCAAATAGTCTCTGGAAGTGCAAAACTGGTGGAGGTATATCCCAAAAATATAGCGGTTTGCCTCATGGGGGCTGAATACAAATGCCACACTTTTCAGTTTTTTATTTACAATTTAAAAATATAGGTTTCCTTTCACTTTACAAGTATGGACTGCAATATAAAAATTCAAATAAAACACTTTGGGGTTTGTGGTTTTAATAACAATAAAAAAAAAGTAACTTTGTAAGCCAACATAGATTTCTATAATACTTTGTAGAGACCCATAACTTGACAGAAAAAGCAGGTTTTAATACAGTTAAAACTAAACCAGGAGAATTAAGAGCAGCTGACTTGTGATGCCTGCATAAGTCAGAGATTAGAGCAGCAGTTATGTTTTATTTGTAAAGTAAAAATATACAAATATTGCAAAAAATATTAAGACATTATGAAAAATAATATATAATGAAAATGAATAAACTAAGCCAGAGTCAGGGATGTTTAACATAAGACCAGGAGTGTTTTGTATTTGGTGGGACAAGGGAAGCCAAACACAGCCATACATGGACAAAACTGAGATAAAGGCAGCCTCTCCTGTGGAAACGAACACCATTTCAATTAACAGCATACGGTAAGCCACCATAACTCACCTGTCCAAAACAAAATAAATATCAAACGCTCCATCGCAGGACGCGCCTTCCTCGGGGAGCGTTGAACTCATGGAGCAAATGCGCAGAACCAGCAGCAGGATTTGGCACCGCGTCCAGATCCGATCCATGGTCCATGCGTTACATATCAGCACCCGGTTGATTCAAGGGAGGATTAAAGAAACGAGCCACTACTGTTAGTATGGCTTCTGGCCGGCTGCTCACATGTTGAATCAGTGCTGTTTTGACTATGCATGTGTGCGCAGAGGCAAAGTCAGCAAAGAACTGAGAGGGGCAGGGCGCGCAGCTGCAGGCACCACCGTCAAATCTCCCACGATGAAAACAAAGAACTTCCTGCCTGCCGACTTCCTGTCAGGATTTAAGAACCTCACTATTACGCTGACCAATTCAGGTTTTTATTTAAAAGACAAGATCACCAGTAAACTCGTTTTTAAAACATAAAAATAATAACCCAAACATTTGTTGATCCTTGTTTAAGTTGTGACTTCGTTGAAAGTAAAAAGTTCATTTTCAAAATATTTTTTTTGGAATAAGTATAATACAGATAGAGGATAGTAAACATATATTATGCGAGGCACAATTCGTGGTCTATATCGCTCATTTATTCAGTGTCTTACTTTTACTGATACCTGCGACATTGCAAATTTAGAAAAGTCAATTTAAGTACGTTTCTTTCAGTGGACAATAATCCAAAATTTGGAATTAATTGAGTTTTTTCAACCAGTGGTGCCTCCGAAATTAAAATAAATACAACAAAATCATTTTTACAGTTTATTTCTTCACCATTTAAAATAACAAATTAGTCGTCCCAGTTGTTTGTTTATTTCAATCATTTACATTTTAAACATGCTGATATTTAAACAAACGTTTAAAATGAAAAGGAGCAGGTGGAAGAAAAAAAATATATAGACCCCTTCTTTCAAGGTCACCATAAGCAACAAAACATCAATAAACTATCCATATACAGTACATCTTTCATCACAAAACAGGATAATAATAATAATAATAATAATAATAATAATAATAATAATAATAATAATAATAATAAAGCAAACAAGATATATTTTTGTAATTCTACAACGCTCTCCTGAGTCAATATTGATAGAATATATCTTCTTGTTTTCTTTAAAAAAATATATATAAAAAATTATCTACTCTCTTTAGTTTCTTTACACAGAGTGTTCCAGAAATAGAGATAGGCTACAACATACCATTTGTTTATTTCTGACTTTTTTTTTTTTTTTTTTTAATAATGTGAAATCTGTTAGAACAAATTATTAACACTGGGATTGCTAGGAAAACATGGGCATATTTGGTATGGACTTTTATTTTGAAGATACATCGTTCTCTTCCTGTGCCTTCTACAAGATCAGCTGACTAAATATATAACAATGCCACAGTAGAAAAACACAGAGATAACCAACATGTGACATGTGAAAATAAATAATTAAAAAATCTTTATGAGACTTTAGCTTCTTGTCTTATTTAGTTTAAGAAGCTAAATAATGTCCCACTGACTTTAAGAATCAACCAAACATGTCACTTTATGTGAGATCAACCCAGAGGCTTATTAAAATTTTTATGCTCTACAACTTTGACAGGCCTGTAAATCAACTACACAATGTGTTTTTATCCAAAATGTTTAAACAAGTGCATCATTATTGTGTTAATCCACTGCAGAAGGAACTGTAACTGAACATGCTCTTCAGACATCCTTGGTGTGTCCGTATGCTTAAAGCTTATCCAAAATGTGATTTCCCAAATGGTGAATTACAGTGATCACCATGTCACGAGTCAGGGGTTGCGCCATCAACATATTGATTAACTCATAATTTATTTGTCTTTCAAGTCCTTCTGGAGCAAGAAGACCAATTTCTTTTCACAAAGCTGAACTTTATCAGACCTCATCAGGGTGAGATGTTGGCTTCATTCCTGTCTGTCCTTTGGTGATGCAGCAGCCCTGTAATTACATATTTCATTGTGGAACGTGCAAGGATGCAATGTGGATTCCAAGTTGGTTTTCAGCTCAGCAAACCATTTGAATGAAGTCATGACAGCAAACGCCTCATATAATAACACAGCATAATGAATCCCCCTCCCTCAAAATGGATGATGTGATCTCTGTTGTATTTGTTTGGGTGTGGTTGGACCTTCTTTTATTTTAAATTTCAAAACAAAAGGCTAAAAATCTATTTTATTATTTGCAAACTAGAAAAGCAGAAACAGGATGAGTTCCTGCTGACAATTACCCTGCTGATTGAGGAATAGTAAGCAAATGAGCGGTTAATAGTACAAAGAATGAAGGAATGCTTGCTGCCACATTTGAATACCCAGAAAGAAATATTGTGACCACAGTTAATCCCTGCAGTCTATCACAGTATAAAAAAACGAAACTGTCTCTATGGTCATAAGCCTTGCCTATTAAATAAACAAACAAAGGAAGACTTATAGCCTCATGAGGTCAGAAAACAAGCTGTGTTTTAATTACACTGTCGTCAAATGCATAACTGGGATTTTTTATAATAGCAACCCTCAAGAGGTATACTGGTGTTTAATTTTTAGCCTATAGAAAATAAATTAAGATTAAATAAATATTCTCAAAAAGACATAAATACCTGCAATTTACTTTAAAGGCTGTAAAGAAACACAAAACATGGTTTACCACTTCTTGTTGCAAGGTTCCGGGAAAAGGTTGCTCCAATTATGTTGTTTTTAACATATAATTGGATTTGTGGGTCCGTGTGCGAACGGATATTAGTACATGTAATTATTTATTCACATAACTCACAACATCAACTGCCAACTCAAGACACTTTACTGGGCAGACAGGTCCAACATAAATCCATATGTACAGATTCTAGTAGTACAAAATAAATTTAGGTTAATTCAAGCGATTCCAGTACAGTCCAATTATGTGATCAGATTTAGACCAAATTACAAACTGTTCAATTAAATTAAAGATAAACCACAAAGCTGTTTGCTCACAGTTGTAATAAATCTGCAATAGTTTTGATAAAACAGTTTCTATAGGAATTTTGTGTATATGTGGGTGTGTTTATATGTGTGTGTGTCTATATATATATATATATATATATATATATATATATAATTATTATTATTTAAATTATGACAGGTGCCAGATAGAAACATTCCATTCAAATTCAACTTACAGTAATATAATGCATTTTTCTATTTTTAACGTTTAATAAATGGCTCCAGAGGCAATGTTGTACTCTCACCCGTAGGTGGCAGTAACGCATAGCTTCCATATTTCCTATCAAAACAAACAGGTTTGATGCTGCTGAAAGGTTCTACACTCATACTATACGTTAGCTTATTAAAATGTGTACATTTATCAAAATGTGATTCTTTTTTACCACCGCGTCAAGCCAACAGCCGTCCGGATATGGCTGAAATACCTGTTCGAGGACAGTGGGACTGATAATGGTGAGCTTCCGGTTATTTTTATACAAGTTTTTCAACCTGTTAGCATTAGCATCTTAGGTTTAGCCTGCTGGGAGACCTCAACAAACCAGTTTAGCAGAAAAGAAGAAGAAAAAAAAAACTGAACATGCTTGCTTCGCTGGTTTCAGAACTTATTGTCAGAATTTGAAGGTCTAGTTCATCCGCAATTTTTCTTTTGTTGGAATTATTGCTTAGTTTTTCCTATTTGTTTACACGTCGCTAGATTTTCGATCGTTGCGTTTCCCTGTTTATTTACTCCGCAGCCTTAACGTCTCCAGCTTCCTCTGCTGTGTCCGTGGAGCCCAGAACAAGATGCTGCTGAAGATGCCGAAGAAGCTGCTGAAAACTGCCCACTACATAGAGCTGGGCAGCTACCAGCACTGGCCGGTGCTGCTGCCGCACAGGATTCGGTTGTACACCTACGAACAAATCCCTCTCTTCCTCAAAGAAAACCCCTACATCACAGACGGCTACAGGGCACACCTGACCTCCAAACTCTGTCTGAAGAGGTGAGAAGTATGATAGGCTCTACATGAATTTATATCACAAAGAACTCACCTAAAGTTTTTTTTTCCTGAGCTCAGCAGTCGTTAAAACAGGTGAAATCCGATTAAATAGACCATTATTTATCATTTGCACAGCCCTACATGACATATTATAAGTCCTCAAAAAAACAATTTGATATGTTTTCTTAATCGACTCAAATGCTAATATATATATATATATATATATATATCCTTGTTTATTCAAATGTGCAGGAAATGAAACAGGCGCACATTTTATTTAATAAACATAACATGTAAAGTAACCTTTTGAGATATTCTACATGGTTCTTACGGTTTCCTGCTTTCTTTTCCCTACAGTATATTTATTCTATCCAATGAGACTGTGAATATCTGGAGCCACCTTCTGGGTTTTCTCCTTTTTTTCTCTCTTGGGGTCAATGACCTCTCCTCAGTTCTACCAGCCGCTGGAGCAAACAGAGAAGACTACGTCATCTATGCTATAGGACTCTTCTGCTTCCAGGTAACAGCTGCTGTAGTCTGCTGCTTGTTGATTTTTTTTTTTTTTTTCAGAGGATTTTCTTTGTTTGTCCATCAGTAGTGGTGAGCTGATTGCTTCCTTCATTGTTTGGTTTAACAAACTGATTCATGTAGGGTTACTTTTCCTGCTGCAGGTTCAGTCAGCTGCACCCTCTCAGGTGTGTATCGACAGTGGAGTCACAGTGGATTAAAAACATGTACACAACCCTGTTAAAAGTCAACTAAATTAGGTCGTTTAGGAACTTTTTCATCTCTAATGTGACATGTGCAGTTCAGCTGAAATATAAACGTATAAAAAAGCCGTTACCAAGTTGCATAGTTGTGCACACCCTCAAATTAATACCCGGTTGGAACATCTTTTGAAGTCATTTCAGTAAGCAGTGGGTGTGTTCTGCACCTTACAAACATCTGCTTTGTTCTTTGTATGTCTGGATTTGGCAGCATGAGACTCTCAGAATAATAACTTTGAGCAAAACACCACTGTGTAAAGGCAGCATGTTATTTTCACCACAGTACATAATGAAGCAAGTGTTTTTATTTAACTGAGAACCATTAGAGATCAACCAATACACGTTTTTGAAGGTGGATAATGATTATCTTGACATCAGATGCTGAAATGTGTTGCCAATTTTTTTTAATAGTATTACACAAGCCTAAATTTAAATAAAAAGGTAAGTAACAATAAAAACAAACTTTATCAAAAAATTTTTGATGTACTTTATGTAGCAACATGAGGCCTTTATAGTGCAAGTGACCTTCCTGAGAAAATTTGCGAACAGCAACAGAACAAAAAACACATTTTTGTAAAAAGAAATGTGGAAAAAAAATTATTCATATTGCGGCTAAAATAATCCCAAAACCTGGTGAAAGGATGTGTTATATTCATCTGGAGCAAAACCAACAATATGCATCACCATGGTAGGGCGATCTCACCAAGAGATCACCCTACCATTGTTAAACACAGTGGTGTCGGTATCATTTAACAGGTGTGTGTAGATGAATAGTAGTTCATCTCAGTGAAGTTGGCATAAATAACTGTTAGCTGTGTGTTTTTGTCAGTTTGTGTAGAAACCAGCAATTAAATCAACAACCTCTGACTTAAACCAGTGGCTTCGACTGGTTTTGTTTACATGTTACGTATTGCATAGTTACTGCTCTGTGTATTTTGTGTTTGTCTTGAAATGATAAATTTACGTGTTGTAGATGAAGAGACTTGTGATTACGATACCAAAAGTAATCTAGTTACTGGAACTAGCTCTGCAGCTCGTTTATTGCTCTCTACATAAATTAAAGTTGAGCTGTTTCCCCTCCAGGTCTGCATGCTGTGTTCAGTGGGATACCACCTGTTCTCATGCCACCGCCTGGAAAAGACGTGCCGCCGCTGGCTGGCGCTGGACTACGCCGGCATTTCCATCGGGATCCTGGGCTGCTACGTTCCTGGGATCTTCTACGCTTTCTACTGTAATGCTGTGAGTGAAGACGTTTAGCAGCTGCTTCTCAACAAATATCTTTGCCTACTGAAGACTTCGACTGTGCCTCATCTCCCCCCCTCCAGTTTTGGCGACAGGTCTACCTGCTGACGGTGCTCTCCTTGATCCTGGCCATCTTCTGCGCTCAGGTTCACCCTCGTTACCTCAGCAACGACTGGAAAATGATCAGGATGACAATCTTCTGCTGCGTGGCGGGCGTCGGTGTGATTCCTGCCTGCCACTGGATCTGGCTGAGTGAAGGGTTCGCATCGGAGATTGTGCAGGTGCGGAAGGAAAGTCGGCGTCGTAAGAAATCGAGATGAAAACCAAAAATAAAATCTTGCAATCCATTTATTTTGCAGCTGTTTCTGCCTCGTGTGATTGTAATGTACCTGATAGCTGGGTCTGCGTTCCTGTTCTATGCCACCAAAATTCCTGAGCGATATTTTCCTGGTGAGATTTTATTTTGTCTTTCATTCGTCTCTCTGTGCTGTGATTTCCAAGATCTGATGAAAAAGCCATTCAGCCTTGAAATTACCTGCATCTGAATTTCCCAAGTATCACTAACTGAGACTTATTATCTCAATAGCACCTAAAAAGCGAACCCAAGATTGTGTCTGATTTTTAAAAAAATCTTTCCAATAACATCATCAGTGGCTGTGATCTATTAAAGCAATCTGCTGAGTGTCTGGAGAATACTTTCACTGTAAATTGGTGCAATGTGAACTGAATAAAGTCCTTGTGTTTCAGTGGGAAATACCAACTTAAATTTAAGTTCTAGAACAGATGAGACTTTATGCCATTCATTTATGTCTAAGAAGCAAGAAACATTATTTGATTTTAAAGCATTATAGTTTTTCTGCAACCTGCGGCTCTTTGAAACTTTCGTAGTGGCTGTTTATAACTTTTACACAAAGCAATAAAGAACCAACCAATGTTTTTGGAAATATTTTTAAGAACAAATACAGCTTTAAGGATGGGTTTGTTTTTTTCAATTTTGTGATGGAATAATTGCAATTTTCCACAAAGGATTGACTAAAAGAATCAGTAATATATTTTACTTTTTTTTTTTTTTTTTTTCCATTTTTGACATTTGTTTGGAAACTGTTTTCAGAATCAGCTTTATAGAGCATACTTGTGTGCCCATGCAAAAAATGTTGATTTCAATATTACAGTACACAGACTTGATTATACACAAATAAACTTTAGAGGAAATAAAATAATATATATATTTTATATATATTTCTCTTTTTTTTCCTTCCCCTCCAGGTCAGGTGAACTACATCGGCGCCAGCCACCAGCTGTGGCACGTACTGGTGGTGGTGATGTTTTACTGGTGGCACCAGACGGCTGTAAACATCATGGACTTCAGACACAGCCGGCCCTGTCTCAGCCGGACCGGCGGCAGATAAGTGAACCTCACATTACATTAAAACAACCTTCAGTTGTTGCCTTCGCCTTTTCTTGCTGTGAGTGCGAGACGCCTGTTGATGCTGAGTGGTAGACATTGACCAATATTAAAAGCTCTTAGAGTTTTATGACTGTGGCATTGCAAAGTAAGTGATGGCACCTTCTGTTTTCACAGCAGCGAACATAAAATTGACTATTAGATCAATGCATGGAGCTGAAATGTTTGAACTTTGATGTTTTTAAGTGACATCATATTTTGCATTTGATTAGATTTTGTCTGTTTTTTGTGCAGAAGTATTTACAGAGTGGATTATTTGAATCAAATGTAACTGCCTGCATGAATTCTGCCTTCTTTTGCCTGCATTTTTTAACTCTTATGTACTTCTTATGTTTTTATAAGAACTTTGGGAGGAAAAATAGAAATATTGGTTTGACATCTGAACAGAATTTTTTTTTATCTCTATCTTTGCCATTCACATACACAATATTTTACCTCTAAACCTTATTTTATGTCTAATTTAACTGCAGTTGTCCCGTTCTGGTCTGAATCAACTGGAGCTATTTTTTTTGTGAATTGATAACAAAGACTGTGACATTTCACACAACTCATTCCATATTCTAAATGAGACCTTTCTCTGGTGAAGATGTTAAAAAAATAATGACATCGTTCCAGACTGTTCTACTATTTTGCTTCCATTTCTAAAAAATAAAAAGGCCTCAATTCCCATGGGTTAAAGATTTTCAGCTAAACTGCTGAAATACCCATAAAGTGCCAGTAGGTGGCGATAACATTAACAATATGTGAGAGTATCTGTTTCAATTTAAGTATTAAAGTTTTTACCTATTCGCTTGTTGTGAGAAACTTGCGATCACAAATGTCTGCTCCTAGTGAGAGCAGAAATTAATTTTATCAGTGAAGCATGGATGCACATGTCCTCTTCAAATGTCAAAAATGTGGGGATTTTTTTTTTTTTTTTCTTTTGTTGTGAGTCTCGTATTTTCCCTGTGGAAAAACAAATTATGTGTGACGGCATTATATCTGAAAGCATTGTTTTAGTTGCTGTTCTTGTTTTTATTCTTAGTCCTACCTCCTTAGGCTAAATCATGAGCAACAGAATCAATCACAGAGCAGAACGATCACCGATAATCAAACCAGACTGATGCTGTAATTTTTGCTTAACGTTTTTTTTTTTTTTTTTTCTTTTCACAATTCAGCTGTAACCTAATGAACACAACAATCACTCTAAGGCAGTGATTCTTAACCTGGGTTCGATCGAACCCCAGGGGTTCGGTGAGTCGGTCTCAGGGGTTCGGCGGAGCCTCTGCCGCGGAGGTAAAGACACACTTGTGTAAAGTCGTGATGACGCGCCGCTTTGCCATCACTTACTGCAGAGGATCACGTTACATTGCTTAGCCAATCAGTGCTGCGGAGGAGCACTGATTGGCTCGTTCCTGGACAGTCAGCTCAACTTTGCTGAAAACACTGACTATATTTTGAAGAACTATTCTCAAAGACTTTACTTTTTAAGAAGACTTGGTGATCTTGGGGTGACCCAACTACACTCTAGTTGGGTCACCCCAATATCTTGAATTTGGGGGGGAAAAAAATCATATTTTATTTATCACTACAGAAGGGTTCAGTGAATTTGCATATGAAACTGGTGGGTTTGGTACCTCAAAAAAGGTTAAGAACCACTGCTCTAAGGTAATCACTTAAACATGACATTACGTGACTAACTCGGTCTATAAGCAGGGCATGATGATGAGAGTCTATTTTTTTTTTTATTTTCCTCTACTGCCAAGTATATATTGATGTAATATCCTCTGGATTGTGTGTGCATGGAGGAATGTACAATATTGATCTTTAATAGCAACTGTACTTCAAAAATTTAATTTTGATTGCATGTTTGCACTTTCAGTGCAGTTCAATTATTTTTATGCATGCACCTTAGCTGTCCATCCTTTTGCGTTTAAGTTACAAACTGAATATTTTTTTATAATCGGTTCAAGTTTTATCAAGATTACTGATTTAGCAGATTATGAATGTAAACAACCAGTCATTATAGTATTTAAGATTAACACAGAAATCTACCAGTGGGGAACGGCATTGAAATCTTTACTCCATTTGAAAACCTGATGGAAGTTTTGTTGATTTAAATCTCGGGAGTTGTCACTGTGATGTGTCTGTACTGAGTTAAACAAAAGTGCAAATGCATCTTAATCAAAATACAGACAAATTCAAAAAGATCAGGTGTGGAAGAGCATGTCTTGTGTGTCCAGCAGCTTATTTATGTGTTCATCTGCAAGGTAAATGGAGCCCAGAAGACAAGTAAAAACCTCTTTGCTTTTGCAAGCACGAGTTATAGACCGATTGGTATAAACTGTAATAATATGGACCTTTTAAACATAATTGAATTTACTTTACAGCCTCTAAAATCCTTTAGTTTCCCCTTTATAAAATGTGTTTGTTTTCTTATTGCTGCTTGAATGAGGCCAGTTGGAAAATGGAAACTACAAACTACCTATGTTCATTATATTTTTGTTGCACAAAATGAGATCCGTTATTAGAATAACAAGCATCAAATGTTTTTATTTTTGCACATTTTCGCCCTGTTTGTGTTTGATTTGCCTTATCTTTGAGTAACTGTACTGTATTTTTTACTGTTTCTCACAAACTAGAACAAAATCTTTAATTTCAAAAACATGAAAATTAATGCATTATAAAAAGCTCTTACTGCTGGAGACTGCAGAACTGAATTCATGGAGCGGTACCAAAATAAATCACTGTTTCTCTGTACAATGCTAATTTTTTCTTGGATGTTCTCTTGTGTGTTTGTGTTTTCCTTGTGGTATTATGATGAAAAAAGCACTGACCAATGAGATGAGATGAACATTTGTTTCAGTTCATCTGTGAAAAGATATTTTTGAACATTTTGAACAAATAAAGTGTTAAAGAACTAAAGTATGGGTCTCAGAACTGTTCTATTGTCTAAGTAAAAACAATAGATAAAAAAATAAATCTTCCACCTTATTGTTGGTTTCAACAAGAGTGTGGTTCAGTTGTTGAACAGCAGAGGGCAGAACTGAAACGGGTGACTTCAGGTTTTAACTTTTGAACATATTTGGAGTTTTTTTTACCTAAAAATTCACATTATAAAAAGTTACTTCAAGTTACGAGGTACTCGGAAAAATGTAGGTGGTTACTTTAGAAATTGAAGAGTAGATCCTTGTAAAGATAAGTCTATAAAAGAGATTAAACCATGAAGAACTTAGGGAATCTCAGGAGGATCAAAAGTTTCTGATACCAAAAAAGCAGTAAAATAGCCTTTTAGCTCACTGCTGAATTCTAGTGCCAACTTCAGCAATGTGTTTAATGATTTGCAAAACATATGGATGTTAAACACAGGTCCCAAAAATCTTAAAATTTCACTGTGGAAAAACATTAATTTCCCCTCAGTTCCACTACACATTCACATCTACTGGACTCTGGAAACACGGGCAATGTAAAACATGAAAGTTCTCACAGACACACAGTTTGAGACCAGAAAATGTTCTTCACAAGTCTAAAAGATTGAATTATCTCAAAACGATGTAAAGATGCTTTCTGAGATGAACGACAGAACTCGAAATGTATTCTATAAGTTCTAATCAACAAAAGCAATGTTAAAATACATAAGCAGTGTTTTAAAAGTTGTGTGTTACTGCTGATGTCTCCTGCATTGGCCTTAAATTTAGTTATACTCTATATGGTCCAGAAACTGCGAGAGCTTTAGTTTTAGAGACATTCTCCCACTTGATCTCTAATTTTGTCGGAACCAATAAGGATTAACTGTTTTTTGCATGGCGACTCCACATTTTGGCAGTTTTTTTTTGTTTTGTTTTGTTTTTACTGGTTTGTTTTACTTAAAGTTTTAATAAATAACTAAACCAGGAATATGTCTGGCCCACGATCTGGCCTTTTTGGTGACTTGTACTCTCGAACGTCAGAGATCCTGTTTGAGATATTTATAGACAGGATCTCAAATCATAACCATGGTGACGAGGATGTCCAGATAGGAAAGCCTCGAGGTCTCCTGTGCTTTTTTGCAGATGATGCATTTCTCTTTGCGTCTAGAGTCATAACATCAGGTGTGCTCTGGAGTGTTTTTCAGCCAGAATGACTGTAAACTCTAACAAGTTTGAACTCCTGAACTGAAAAACGGTGGACTTCTCAGTCTCTCATGCAATCGAAGTCGTTCCGGTATCTCAGTTTTTTATGCGCCAGTGATGGAAGCGTAAAACAGACGATTGCTAGACAGATTAGGGTTTTGTCTGTAGTAATGTGCTCTGTCACTGTAGGGTAGGATCTCAGTTATAAACTTCAGGTCTCAGTTTACCAGTTCATCTACATTCCAGCCCTTATCTATGGTCTGGAGATATGGATCATGACCAAAAGAACAAGATGCCAGATACAAGTGACTGAAATGAGCTTCATTTTTTTGGTGGTTGGTCTCAGTCTTAGCAGAAGGGCTGGAAGCTCTGTCATCTTCAGGAGCTCTGGGTAATCAGTGAATTACCTGGACAGAGTCATTGTCACTACCTTTGTACCTTTCGTATCACATGTTTCTATTTCCGGGGTGGAATGACTACAATTTCAATGAATTTTAAAAGAAGAATTAGGTGGACATCTTTATGCTGTCACTGAGCAATACCAGCTGGATATTTGACCACTTTTCTTTTAGCAGGATTCCTTTAAATTGTTCTTTTAGTCCACATTATGACGTGGCCAACACTGTGCTTGACAGTTTTGCAGACATAGTTTTTGTACTCTGGGCAAATAGCCCAAATTTGGTCTGAGTTTCTGCAGAAGGTGTTTGACTTGTCTATGTGGGGAGTTACACACTTCAGTCAAACTTGAAGCTGTCACCACCCTCTCAGGCAGTGGAGGGGTAAAACTGTGTAATTATGAACAACGACCCCTGGTGTTTCTGCAGTTTCCATTTCATTACAGGCTTCAGTCTGGAGGACGAGACAGGATGAGGACATTTGGGTTAGATGGTTGAAACACAATATAATTGATGTCTAGATCAATGTACATTGATCCAAAACGCACACTGAATAGTTTTGAAATTGATAAGCAATAAACAAAAATGTGCTGACTATTCCTAAAACCAGATTTATTAAAAAACCTCCACTGTTTCTACCAGAGTTATCCCAGAATCTTGTTGATGGCTACAAAAACTTGCAGTCAAAGAAGTTGTAGAAAATCCACAACACATTCTCGTTTTAAAAACATGGAATTATTTTGTTGTGTAAGTTGTACCCAGAAACTCAAATAAATCATTAAAATACCAAACATCAGATTGAAATTATGTCATTGTTATTGGAACAATTTGACACAACCTTGGCTAGAAACATTAGCGTGTATGTAACTCAGCGCGATACCATTGTGTTAATCATAACCAATCCTGTCTCGTCTTGGTAAACATGTTGGGGGTCTCACTACATCTGTGTGTCGCTGTAATTACACCGGCTATACATTGGCACGTAGGCATATCAATCATTGACCGCCAGGGTGCACAGCGAGTTTCTTCTCGACTTGTTTACTGTTAATAAGTAAAAAGATGAACCTCTTGGATAATCCCTGCATACTTGGGGTCAGTAAACTGTACACAGGTATGTGGTTTCTGTTTGTAGGATCACGCTTTCTAAAGTTTCTCCTATCATTTGAAGTCAGGAAAGGTAGTGGTTAGGAGGAATTATTTTTCACCAGACGTGACTTCAGCGTTTGAAAGTGTGATGATTATGTTATTAACTCTGCACCTAATGGCTACTTATGCACAGCTGACTGCTTTTAAATGCATTATTGGAAAGACTGTCGATGTGGCATTTTCCTTCCTAGTTATTATCTTGAGGTTTAATTTGTTTATTTCTGTAATACTAAAATAAGACTGCAGCAGGTCAAGCATTTAGGCACCTGAACATGACTTGTTGATGTTAAACTGAGCGTCACACAAGGGATTTAAGTGACTTTGAAGAAAGCATGGCTGTTGGTGCCAAACGGACCGGACCAAGTATTTTAGGATCGACTAGCTTTTTCACTCTCAAGCATTTCTCGGGCTCACAGAGAGTGTTTTGAAAAATGAATATCATCCAGTGAGCAGTGAGTAAACTACACAAATAAATATGTATCAGATATGCTCTAAACTTGCAAACCTGCCGTATTGACAATGGAAATACCGGTTGCCCCCTTGTTGGATCCAAACTGCAACATACTGAGGAACCCCCTCTAATAAAAGAGCCAAGACTCATACACTTGCTTCACTAAAGACTCATTTTATTCCAAGTACTGAATATTACAAAAAATTTTCTGAATGCTGAATGGCTATACTTAAAAAAAAAAAAGAAGTTACAATTACACACAGAGACATCTAAACACAAATTAAATTAATGCGTGGAAGAGTTTACTAATTAATTTACATAAATAGTAATGCAGTCCATACTTACGATCATGTCTACATGTTATTGTACGGTTTTTCACATTGTGCAGTTAGACGTGGTATCGGTCTTGATCTCAACAGGATAAGAGACAATGAAAAACAGTAGTTTAACAAAAAAATAAAATAAAATGCAGCAGTTTGAGCTTATTCACTAGTCACAAAGTTTTTGATTAAAAAAAACAACAACAAAAAGTTTAAAAAGATTTTTTACAAAATACACTGGAGACACCACCTGCTGCCACTGGATTCTTTAGTAAAAATTCAAAACATTTTAAAAGCACCAAAAGATCTAATACTCAAACCCTTCTTTATAGCTCCTGCTGACTGTTCAGAACAGAGCATGTGCTCCACTGACCCGTTTTCTAAATGCAAGGTTCTCAGGACGAGCAAAGTCCTTGTTCTCTTCCGCTAGTCAGGAAGAGTTTAACAAGCCTTTAAGAAATGATTTATAGCAAAGGCGAAAGTTGGCACTTAAGGAAATGGTGGCTAAATTTACAAGCCTGGAATCTGAAGGTGTGGAATAAAGACTACATGAACTTTGTATGTTCTCTCTAAATCGCTTTTACTTTTCCACAAGTGTTTGTGGGACACTCATCAATCAATAACGAAAGCCACTGATTCCTACCTGAACATGTTTCTAACAATGATCCAGTTAGGTTAAACAAGCTTTCCTTCAGAAAGTCAAGAGTGCTATGTCTGTTTTAATACATCTTTTAATGCTCTGACAAGATTCCTAAAGCAATTCCAAAATACGTCTAGTCAGACTTCATAAAAATGTTGAACACATCTACACTTAACTAAAAATAATGCACAGGCACTGCCTTGGGTAAAAAGCCATGGGTGTGTTTGGCTTGGCCTTTAGTTGAGCTCCTTTCCCTTGTGCAGAAAGGAAGGAAGGAGAGACTCCATGGGAGAAAGCGACATATTTTCCACTAGTGACTCTGTCCTTTGTGTAGGTAATAGATTAAAATCTGTAACGGTGCCGAAAAAAAAGAGAGCACAAGTCGAAACCTGGTGAACCAAAACACACTGACAGATTTAATTGCTACTAGTGAAATGATTTTAATCACTTGCCCTTCAAAACCTTTAGTCACTTTTTAGAAAAATAGAAATTTAACATTGAGAGAAATTTCTCAAACTCAATTTGTTCATCAGCATATATATTTGCTGGCTTTTTACTAATTTGAAGGTCTTTTGGGCCTTCAAATTTATCCCAAAAAAAGCATAATCCATCATTACTCCAGGGGATACAATTATATGCACACATTCTTCATTTCGCTAAGTCTACTCTTCGTACCTCTTTGTTTTATTAACAAAGTTTCCCTGTTATTCTTTCAGCGCTACCCAGTACACCCTTGTTGTGGCCTACAATCACTTTTGAGCACGTAGACGAAAGGAAAATAATCATTTCCTCCTGTCAATCTACACCACAGAGTCCTCGGCCTTCTTTTCTTCTGCTGCTCTGTTTGCATGAAGAACGGCAGCATGAACTGTATAAAACAACAGGCTACTTATGTCTTTGTTGTTCTTCCCAAAGAACTCTCCCTTCTGGAGAGCATCGATGACTGAAGTGTTGCAGCATGCAAGAAGCACACTTATGCCGACCTCTTCATATTCCTTGACCAGCGCTTTGAAAGTGGCCATGCCTGTTGAGTCAATGAAAGGGATGGCGGAGCAGTCTAACACTATAGTGTGGAACTCTAATTCTTTTTGGACAAGCCCCACAAAGACATCAAAGTTGTTTGTCTCCCCATTTGTCTTGGCTTGCTTCTTGGACTTGTCTTTTTCCTTCTTCTCTGCCTTTTTCTTCTTTGTCAGCTCCAAGAAAGGTTCGACCCCGACAGCTTTGTAGAGGGACTTGAGGAAAAAGTTCTTATTGGCAAAGTACAGAGGAGCCTGGAAACGGAAGATCTTAACCCGACTAGGGGCTGTTAGATTCTTGTACTCCTCCACATCTTCATACAGATCGATGTCGTCGACCCGGCCAAGGAGAGAGACCTGAGAACAAACATTAGATTGTGGCAGTTGTGGTATCATTTTGTAAACGTGTCATCTTTAATGTTTAGTGCAAAGTTTTCAAACAACTTTAAGAAGTTTGATTCAAATGTGTCTCTACACATCTGAATCAAATAATCTGAACTACCTTCTTGGCATGCAGTCAAACTATTGACCTAATCACTTGATTCAGGTTCAATGGAACAGAAACATCTAAAAGTTCCTGGATGTTCTAGGATTTCTATCAGTTTACTAACCTTTGGGTTCTGGGTTTTATAGATGATGCAGCTCATTGAAAAGACAATGCCAATGAGCAAGCCTAGCTCCACGCTGATCAGAGCTGTGGCTGACATGGCAACCAGCCAAACAATGGCGTCCATTCGACTGGCTCGCCATTTGGCCGGCACATCCCTGAACTTCCTCAGTGCTCCCCGAAGGCTCACAATGATGATGCAGGCAAGGACACATTTCTGAAGTGCTCGAAAGTATGGAGCGAAGAAGAGGAGGACAAGAAGGACGACAAAGGCACTGATCAGACTCGATACCTGAAAAAGTCAAAATATAAGAAACAAAAAAACTGTTAAAAACAATATGCTCTGACAATGGAGTGGCAGTATTTCAATACCGTGTCAGTATGTGTAACAAAAAAATTTGGGCAATGTGTTTGTGTATTAAATTTATTCCAAAGGAAAAGAAGAGAAAATGTAAGTGTCCGGCAGAAATGATCATCATATTCAGAGAAAGAAAAAAAACAGGATCAGCGTTTAAGCCTGAGAAACGCCATCGCAAGTAGAAAGTAAGAGGTTGGAAAGATGTTGGGGATGTTTTGCTGTCAGAGGACCTGGAGAATTTCATGAAACTAATTGCATCACGAGGAAAGAGCAGTCCAACAGACTACATAGATACACTTAACCGTTTTACCAATATTTTTCCTTAAATTGTGGCCTAAATATGTTGTCAGAACTGGTGTTACTGAATCAGGAGCAATTTTCATGGTTCAAAAACACTTCTGAATTTTAGGAGAAAAAAATCTCTCAATCTGACGGCAAACACAAAAAATGTTGGAAATTCAAAATAGGCTAAAACTCAAAACATTTAGAGTGATTTAGTGCCAAGCAGCATGAAAAATTTAGTATTTTTACTGGATGTATGGAAATATCTACTTTCAATTGAGTATTAGATTTTCTTGATTCTACATTTGGATCCAAGCCATTTAATTGATTCCACAGCATTCGGTTTGTGGTTTTATTGACTTAGAAGACTTTCAGCTTCTCGGTCTTGATCAAAATTCACGTTAGGTTTGTCTTTTTTTCACTCACCTGAGTCTGGCAGCCAGTTGAATCCTTCACCATTGTTTTTGCCAGCGCAGCGCTTGTGGTGAAGCAGTGAAAGAAGGAGGGGACGACATTACAGAGTCCAATGGCCACCATCTCCTGGTTGGGACGGACTGAATATCCGTGTTTCTTTGCAAACATCTCAGACAGTGACACGGTGAAGGCAAAACTGCAAGAAATCCCATTAAACATGAAGGGTAAGATTATTTTCCCTCTCAGGCATTTGAGTAAAACTGCTCAGTAGTTGTGAAAAATTATTTCAGCAAGTAATCCTAAAGTTGAAAGTAAAAAAAAGTCAAATAATAAATTGCTGCTGAGGCTGAGGTAGGTGAAATCAGGCAAACCCTGAACCCAAATGGACTCCACTGACTCTCTGGAGAAATGTATTGGCAGAATGCAGCTGGCATTCACTGTATTTTAGATATTCCTGGTCACTTAATGACACTCCAGCAAAACGTTTTTGCTCAATTTTAGTTTTTGAATGAGAAACCAACACAAATATTTGAGCTAATGTGACATCCAGGTGGTGTCACCACATTCTCTCAACACCTTATTATTGGTGGATTAAACATTTAATCTAATATTTAATATAATTCTGGATTTGTGTATTTCAAAACAATTTACCTAAATCATTGAGTAGAACCTTTGCTTTATTTGGAAATTAATAAAACCGCTAAATTGTGTCTGTAATGAGAAGATAAGAGACATTGGTCAGACAAACATGCTTCTAGTTTGGTCACACCGTACCTAATGACTGCCAAAGGAATGGCATCCAGTGCCACTCGTGGCATAATACTGAATGCGGGGACCTGAGGTGGAGTAAATCCTGTGGGAATGTGACCGGAAACACTGGAGTGGTATCGGGTGTTGAACTCCCCAAAGTGGCTAGCGAGCGTAGCTCCTGCCACGACTACCAGCTCTGTAGGTAAGGGGATCTTTAGGCGGTCCTTGTAGCGGTCCTGGATCTCTTTCCCCGCAACTGTAATGAAAATATCTAGTATTATACCATGTGAGAGAAAAGTACAACAAAAACACTGAGATTTGGAGATGCGAGAACAGATGAATGACCTAAAATTGCAATGCAGATGGCACTTGTGATGAGATCACACAGGTTGGTCTTGTGAATGTTGGCGAAGATGTTAAACCAGGTAACGACTACTGTCCCGTAGCCCTGATGACGAGGAATCTTTAGACCCAAGAGGTATTTCGCCTGCACAGTCAGGATGGTGACAGAAGCTCCCGTGGCAAACCCGTCGAGCATGGGGGCCGAGAGGTAGACGGAGACGAAGCCCAGCCGAAACACTGCCATCAAAATCTGACAGAGGGGAGACAAAAACAGCAGATGTTCTGAGCTGTCTTTCATCCTGGAGGCTTACAAGTCAAAGAATTGCAGTTTTTACAAAATATGTGCTTAAAAACAAAGTTGAAGCGGCATACAATTTATGTATGACTTTTGTATATTTACCTATACAAGGTTGATTTTTTTGCTTTGCAAAAGAAAACAGGATCTTATAATACATTTTCATTTTGAATGGGTGTATTTAACTAGCTTTAGCTTTGGTATAAGTATATTTAAAATCAACCCCATTCCTTTACCTGATAGACACCAGCCAGAAATGTAACAGCAGCTGCGACGGCGATGGCGTAGGAATCTTTCCCCAGCTGCATGCCCATCAGCTCCACGGTGAGCTCGGGTTTATCAGTGAAGTTCAAGTCCAGCGTCTCATTAAATAGTTCATGAGGAGATGGTGTGGAGTCCTCATTGAGATCAAAACCAGCCTCGAAAACCTCCCTAACCACCACCTACAGAGGCGGCATCAACAGCAAATATTCAGAACGTGATAAACGTGACAATGGTTGTAACTCTTTAGGAACAAATTTCTCTAAAGCATTGGCTTACCTGTCCCACCATGAGACTCATGAGGCTGAATATCCCAACGGACACATGTCTGGACGTCCCCATGAGAAAGTAGATGATATTAGCGTAAAATGAGGTGTACAGACCATAAATGGGCGGCACTCCTGCTAACAGGCAGTACGCTATGGCCTGCGGAACCAGAATGATCCCAACAATGAGCCCAGACATCACATCGCCCCAGATGTACTCTTTAAGCTTGTACTTTGGTAGCCAGCGCACCACGGGGAAAAACCCCATCAGCGTGGACCGGACCTTCGGTCCAGAGCAGGTCAAACCGTTTTTCAGCTTTGATTTGAGGATGGCGGCTGCCGGCTGTTGCTGGCGAACCCGCCGTTCCAGGAGCCGGGGCGGTTGGGGGGCCAACGGGGTTTCCGTGTCTGGAGAAACCTCCTCCATGGTCTCGTTGAAGAAGAGGAGGCAGCACAGGGAGAGGAAGGAGATCCAGAGGCTGTCAGCTGCGCTCCTAGATCAGAAACATGGGATTATTGAGTACAATATCTTTAAGGTCTGTCACAAAAGTTTGGAAATATTTGTATTCTGCAAAAACATATTCAGCTCCAGAAAAAGTTAAGAGACCACAAAAGATGATCAATTTCTCTGATTTAGCTTTTTATAGGTATTTGTTTGAGTGAATGTTTGAGTAAAATAACATTGGACTACTAACAACATGTTTTAAAGTTGCAAGCAAAAATGTAAGATTTATTTGCAGAAAATGAGAAATGGTCATAATCACAAAAAAGATGCAGCGCTTTCAGACCTCAGATAATGCCAAGAAAAAAAGTTTATATTCATTTAGAAACAACAATGCTAATATTTTGACTCATAAAGAGTTCAAAAGTCAATATTTGGTGGAATGACAGTGAGGTTTTCAATGGTGTTCAATGCAGTGGCCTCGTCATTTTTTCCAGAGCTGTGCACCCTCTTGTCAGGTGCAGCTGTTCAATTACTTGTCAACACAAACAGCAACTCGGCTAATCACTCAATTCATTTAGGCACTTATCATAAAATCGAGCATCAGAGAATGGAGAAGAAAGAGGCTTTTAGAAAGAGGTGATTGTTGGTTGGGAAACTGCAGATCTACTGGGAATTTCATGCGCAGGCATTTCTTTCACCTATAGAGATCAGTCTATAACATCCAGAAAGCGGATGAATTTTTCTGGAGTTACAGCAGGCCACAGTCCCATTTCGTTTAGATAAATCCTTTATGGCTGTAAACTTCTCAGAATGATCCATCCAAGGCGAAGATTCACCCAAAATTACACATTAACGGCACAGTTGTAGCCTTGGACGAAGACAATGGACCAACAGTGAGTCTACACATAATTAGACAGTTTCGTGAGAGCACAACGTAGCATCACTGATGTGCAGATTAACTTCCCCACGTTACTGAGCTAAATCCAGGTATTTCTGTTATGTCAATACTAAAAGCAAAACTAACAGCTGCTATTCATGCTTTAATGGTAATGAAAGTAGTTGCACGATCTAAGGCACAGATATGCGTTTCCTTGTTTGTCGTCTTTACTATGTGCTGACGTTGTGTGTTTGGATATCTTTGTCTGGATTGAGTTAAAGGCAAGTATGCAACCGCAATGAGAAAACGAAGAGTATCTCTATATAAGGACAATAAAAAGACCCGAAAAGTGCTGGTCAAGAAGTCAGAACTAAAAATGGACAGGAAAACAAACTAAAAATGCAGTTATGGGTCTGACTGCACGTCAGCAGAGAAATGCAGCATTAATTACTGAACTGATAGACTTTAAACTATTCATATTGTTTTGGCAATCTTCTGAATTTTCATCCGCCGGCGCTAATGTGAAGTGAGCTTACTGGAATTTCCTGTCGACGTTCAGATGAACTACATGAAAACTTTGCTTTTAGTTTGCTAAATGTAGTGCCAGTCAAAAACAAAAATGAAATTCAATCAATAAGATAAAGTGTTATTGTAGCATTGTTTATAATGACGTAAATGCGGGTGCAGACTCACTATTGGCCCTGCATCATTTCAACAACGGTTGAAATGTTCTGTGTAACTCCTCTCTGCAGTATTTTTTTAAATAAATATTTTTATGTAACCCACTGCTTTTTTTATATAAATCCTGATTAAAAACAGTGTGTGTATCTCCTGTTTGCAGTAGCGTGTATAAGCACCACTTATAAAACGCAGCTTTGTAAACCGTTAGGGTGTTATTCCACCTGCTGTCTATGAATTATGATTGAAAATTTCATTTAAGTCTCTTTTATTAATACCTATCAGAGGGCTGAAATTCTGATTACTATTGTGAGAATCGTATAGAGATGGAGAAAAAACAATAACTGTCAAATATAGCATTGGCTTAGTAAAAGAAACACTGTCTATGAGAAATATTTTTTTTATTTTTCTTGCTTGTCTCAGAAATCCTTAGTTTTGGGGTTATTTTGCAGAGAGTTATTTAACGATGAACGCTTTCTTGACTTTTGCAATCCTGAAATGATATTCTTTGCCAAGTTGGTCAAGTGATCTGCACATGCAGGACGCCCACGAATAAAACTTGTGATTATTTGAAGGCTTTTCTAACGAGGTTACTGTCCGTTGAGTAGCAGCAGAAACCATGTGTCAGAAACCATAAAGCTCTCTAATTGACATGAAATCTGCCTGGGCCATCACAACACTGGTATGTGTTGTGATTTAGACTTCCTGAGGCGGCGCAGGAACAGATATGACGTGAAACAAGGACGACTGGCTTCTCTGTTTACTTTAAGATAAAAGAAAAACCAAACTCTTTTTTACAAAGTATTTTAATCAGGAATTGAATTTGTATTCTCTTAACTTTTAGGTTAAAATCACCGTAGTTAGAGATGTTTTGACCTTCAGTTAACGGAGAGCTCAGTTTGCCTAGCAATGTTCACTTTAAAGAAGCGGATACAAAGATCAACCTTTGTGGAGATGGGTCCTGTAAATCTCACCTGACGTTTTTAGATGACAGAAGACGAATAATGACCCTTTTTTTTTTTTACAACTGGATTACTTTTGTGAGGTAGTTCACTCTCACCCACCGGTTGGGGAAAAAAAAGCTTTTATTAACTGTTGATCACTGCTGGAATCCCGCCAAGGGACTTTGGGGACCAGACAAATAAAATGAACCAAAGTGTCAGCTCAGAACAACAGTGAAAGGGGCTGATTAAAGGTGTTTCTGCCAGCCGTTTCTAATCACCGCTCTCCTTCTTTTATCACCCGACATAATAGCAAACTGCTCCTGCTTAGAGGATAAATCAAAGGGCTGATTCTGTCTTTTTTTTTATTTTTTTTTTATTAAGGGATAGAAACAATTCATTTAATCAGGTGTAAAGTGAAGTCTACAGAGTTGAAATTAAAACATTTTATAAGAACACATGGTTAATTATATTAAAAAAAAAAAAAAAAAAAGACAATTTCCTTTAAATAAGCCATGTGTGGCCTGTCTCTGTATCAGAGAAACAGGAACATTTGGCTGCAGGTTAGTAGCTGTGGTCTTTATCTCTGGTCTCGATTCTGACCTTGACGGCAGCATTAATACTCTTTAAAAGGAAGATTACTAAAGGTGCAATTAAACCACGTTTATTAAAGGTATGATTTGAGGAGGGTGTCATTTTATTGATCTACATGCTCAAGGGTACAGTTTATCAGCACAGTGTGAAATTATGAGATAAACAAGCGGCAGTCTTTGTCTTTGCCAAAGACAAAAATGCTGAATTATGCCGATGGTGTAACAAATCATTTCAAAAAGCAGCGTGGCAGTCAAAGTAACAGCTCCTCCTTTGAATTCCTTTCTTTTAAATCACGGTGACCTTAATCTAAAATGAAATACTTGAAAGACAAACTTCTTTTCTCAAGTTTTGAGTTTCTCAGACTATAAAGTCAAGAAGATCAAGTGGAACCCCCCGCCCCCCATTCATTACTGCATTCATATTTTAAAAAACCACTTAAAGTTTTTAATGCTACTTATTCAGCCATACAAGCTTGAAACAATATAATAATAATAATAATAATAAACACTGAGCAGGCAATAAAAACACTTACAGTCATTAATTTATGCGAACTATCTCATTAGTAATGATGTACTCACTTGTAGAGTCACTGCTTTATGGACGACCAGAAGAGTTTCTGACTCAACCTGAGTTGGCAGCTCCTTTTTAAACCTGTTTCTCTCTTTGTTTTGCTCCCCTGCGTGACTTCAGCGGCTGCTTCGTCATCCGAGCGTTCAGACTCAGTAGATGAGAGTTATGATCTCTTTCAGAGTTTATATCAAGATAAGAACGAGCCCTTTGCTCACCCTCGCCCTGCTTCCTATTGGCTTGATCCCCATGCAGTGGGTGTGACCTCATGTTGCTCTAGAGAAGAGGTTAAATATAGTCAATTTTTTACTGGATAGCAGTGTTTATCTTTCCTGTTGGATGTTTGGATCGGCAATAGTGATTGCAGAAAGAAAAAAAAGAAAAAGAAACGGTGAACAGCTCTATGTGTCAACATGTCATACTGTTTAAATACATCCTGTGGACAGAGAGAATTGCATGGCAAGCAAAAGATAAAACAAACCAGTGGAGAGACGGCGCTTTGATTTATGTAAATGGAAAATGGTGTGTAATGTTTTTATTTTAACCAAATAAAGCAAATGTGAGAAAAGGAGTGTTTGCATAACACAAAATAAACATGTAATGGTTCATCCCAGTCATTAAGATGTGCAATTTCTGCTTCTGATTAGGAAAAGAGAAATTGCTGGAACATTTTTTTTAACCACCTGATCCTTGATAATAACTTTTAATAATTTTTTCACTTCCCTTGTTTAAAGTAATGGGGAAATGTTTCTTGTTAGACAGACAAAGCTTCAAGACGCACACTAATTTGATTGGCCTGCAAACCAAATACATCAAAAGATAACGTAAGAGACATAAACACAAAGTCGGATATTGCCTAGATCGTTTGTTACAAACCAAAAATTGCAGAAAGAATTTTAAAACACATCTGATATTTATTTAAAGTTGAAACCAGATGTTTATACTCAGCAGGACAGAAACACGCACAACTCTTATTCCCCTTAAAATCTGATATTAGTTTGATCTAAACTAAAGAGTTGGGCCTAAAGAGTGTAATGACATCTAGAAAAAAAAAGTTGATCTTTCTGCTGCAGGATGGACTGGTGAACTTCACAAAATAGGTGGCAGCGCAAGGAAAGAATGTCAAGCAGAAAAAAGTAACGACTCAGACCTGCATACCTCCAAATCAATTACAAACCCCTGGGCAGAAGTGAAAAGGTGTGTGTGAACTCTCGTTCATCACTCTGGCATTTGACAAGTAGAAATATTTTAGGTGAGCCCAACTGACCTAAAACAGGAAAAGTTTAGTCTGATTTAGAGCAAGAAGAGTAAGATTGTGTCTTCTTATGCAGCACATGGAGAGATCTGACTTCAATTGGGTCGGTCATCTATAAAATATTTGGACTCAAGAATACATTGAATGACAATTCCCAAAATAATTGAGTCGAAGTGATGATTAAACCTAAATGTATCTCAATGCGATTTTACTATGTGGTCTTAAAAACATGCTGATAAATGAGTGCGGCAGCGATGCTTGTGGAGGGGCCGGTGTTTGCACAGAGCTGAGTGTTACCACTGCAGGTTGAACCATTAACAGACTGAAGTGAAGGGAATCAGAGCGAGTTCTGAATGTCTGAGCCGTCTGAAATGTGATGTTTTTCTGCTGTTACACTGTCATGCCACCTGAATTCGACGATGCAGTTTCATAGCTTTTAAAAATGCCACGTCATGTAATGTCATTTCCGCCTAGTGGCAAGTTTAGTCACATACACGGAATCAAACGAGATAAGGTCTTTGGATTTTGGTAGCAGAAATGTTTTGGCCACTTGAGAAGGTCAGCGAAGTAGAACTCCCCTGCTGCTGAGATTTCAAAATAGGAGGAAGGAAACGAAGAGCCAAACAGCAAATGTCACTTCAAAAAAATTGAATGTTGACCTAAAATTATGTGTAGCACAAATATTAATATACAAACGTTTTTCCTCGAGTTTCATTTATTGAAAGTGAAGTAGGAAATGTATCTAAATAGAATAATGAAGAGACATTTAGGTGTGGTATGTTGTTTATAAAAGCTATATTTGTATAATGCAGTATTCAAATAAAAAGTTTTAGAAAATAATTTTTACTACGTGTTTCTTGTTTCTTTTATCTGCAATAAAAATGTAATTGCTTTTAAGGGTTTACCAGAAAATGTAAATGTTGTTGGAACTGTAGAGACTATTTGTAGTCAGTTTGACTTTTTGCCTTCTATGCATTTAAGCAATATATATTCCCTTTGCTCACAAGTCAGCTATTGTGGTAAACAGCTATGTTAAAAATGTGATTTTATTCAGCAGTTTAAGTGTCATGAAAAATAAGTTGCTTCATAAAGTTATTTGACTTTCCACATTGCATTTATTCTGGGTTGTTTGCATTTTTACAGACTTTTAATTTATATATGTAGTAGTTTTTTTCTGAGTACTTTATCATGCAGCCCCAAAAGAATTAATCTTCATATACTTCAATATATCAGCAAAATAATAATAATAATAATAATAAAAAAAAGTTTTTTCTTTGGTCTTATTTATAAATTTTATTCTGTTATGTATATATCTATTTTTTAATTTTCCCCAAAGTTTGTTTAAAATAAGAAAACATCTCCTGTGATGTTATTTTAACTTGATTTGAAAATGATTTATGGATAATAAGAGTCTGGTCCAATGTTCCACACTTTTTGTTACTGAGTATTTGAAAGCAGAGAAATATGTCGACTTCCCTGCAGAGCATACAGGAAAGTATCCTGGTCTGGGCATCCTGCTCTGCTTTAACTCATTTTTAATTGCACTAGATTAGTTTTCATTTAATGTCAACCTACCACCATCTAAATCTAATCAGCCTTGCTTTATCTCATTTTGTTACATTTAGAACATTAATCTAGCTGATGTCTCTCTGACAGGCTCAACAATTTTCTTGAAGGTAATATAGGCAACACAAATGATACCTCCTCCTGTCACTTTGAAGGACCACACAATATCCTGCTCAATTAGAGTTGGCTTAACCCAATCTGCCCTTGGCACACCACTGCTCAACCTTCATCACAAGACCATGACAAAAACACCATTTAATCCAAATATCCAAATTTGTTTACATCCCCCTGAAACCCTTCTCCATTAATTTGTAATGTTACAGCAAAATCCCTTAATGTGTTTTGTTATACAAAAAAAAAAAAAAAAACAGTCTTAGGTCTTTTGTGTCTCTATTTGCTTTGCTAATCTAGACATTGAAATCTTTCTTCTCAAGATAGTTGAGTGTCTGGAGGGCGTCTGTAGATTTTTTTACATTTTTTTCTTCACAGATTTTGGCAGAAGACAAGAAGAGATTTACTTCATTCAAAACCTTTTCATTGTAGATCTTGTCTTATGTTGACGGTCGTTATCCTGCCGGCAGGTAAACCATTAACCCAGTCACATGTGTTTGACAGAATTCAACACGTTTAATTTGTGTTTGCAAGTGAAACGAAAACATAATTAAAAGCACATTGAAGGAACGAGGTTGTGTTATTGTCTTTGGATCAGCCTGAGTTGTGAAGGTGAGTCATGTGTTTTGTTTATTGCATTAAATTTAGTCAATACTCCTTTTGTTAATGTCAAACCTCAGCTTAGAAATTTTATATATTTTAACACCCCTAATTTAACAAATAAAGTTAGTCATTAATAAATGTATGCATGGAAAAAGAAAATAAATTCCACACAACCTCTAAATTATGTCCAAATAAAATTTTGTCCATAACCCACTCAACAATCAGAAATTAAGGTTCATTTTGATGACAACATAAATGAATAAAAGTATATTTCAGTGTATTATTTCACTTTATTTCACATTTATTTGATGTAATAATAATTGCTTTTATTTGGATTTTCAGTTAATGAATGACATAATTAAGTATTTATTCTTAGGTGTTTGCAGTTACCAAATGCCTTTTTTCATCTTGGTGAAATACTGACATATCAAAATGTATTTATTTTATTTTTATCATATTTTCTTTTTATTTTACTTTGGCATATTTGACCTCCAGAGTCTAATCACTGAATGCATAGAACAAATCATGTCAGAGAGCGAATGAGGAGGAATAAATCCAGCTGAAATGGACTGGATGTGAGACAGTGAGGGTCTGTGTGTGGATTTGTATGTGGGTTTATCTATGAGTGCTGCACTCAATGCCATCATTGTCAGAGTGGAAGATGCGGCTGCTTAATTTCTTTGTGTTCCTCTAACGTACTCGGTCATTGGTGAGATTGTGTCATAATTTTAACACATTGTTGAAACTTAAAGTACAAAGCAGCTGTGTCATTTCCTGCTTGAAAAAAAAGTAAAATAAATAAATAAATAAAAATATGAAGATTTGAAGTGTTTCTGCCTGCCTTCCTTATCACCTTTTTGCCAAGAGACCCCCAAACCCCCTCATCCTTTCCCATCTGAGAGGATTACCGCACTGTAGCTTTAAATCCACCGGCAGCATCCATCTGTCTGCAGGTTTACTTCCCTTTCTGCATGCCATTGTGTGATTTGTGTTGAAAAACAGCTCAAAGGAGGGTTGAACTCACCAAAGAAGCAGCAGCTTGAGTGCGTCCTGGAGGCGACATCAGCCATGCCTCCACGTGTGGTACCTCCTCATCCACCATCGGTCTGGAATTTGAGCCTATGCTGCTCTCCACTGTGCTGGCAGCTGGCGGTGTGTCTACTTGCTTCTTCCTGTTTCCTACTGCAAAGCATGATGGGAGCAGCAGCCGTTGTATCGTTTCTGTATGTGGATTGGAGTGGGGGGTGAGAGGAGAAAAGGGATGCAAAAGGGGAAGGAGGAGAGGCCGGTGCCTGTGGATGAGGGTTGCCATGGTGACTAAATTCCTGCAAGTCCTAGTGTATTTGTGCTGTGCAAATGATATGCAGTCTGTCTGTAAGAGCTCGATAGCGCATGGGTTCATAACAGCGGCAGCAACAAAAATCTGCTTTACCCTGGAAAAAATAGGGTAACACAGTAAATTATGACACTTTTAATACAAAGTTGACATTATTCAAAATGTCTTTGTTATGACAACTTGACATTAACCAAGAAATCATTACTGTTTAAACTTTACCTTTAATAACATAAAGTTACCTAATTTTTAAAGTGCAATCATTAATACTTTTATAACAAATTTATATCAGTAATGATTTATTGGTTTATCTGACTGTAAAATCAGAAAAGTTGGTGCAAGTGGACACAGAAAATCCAGAACGCAAGGAACTCCGGAGTACTGTGTTGCATGCTATGTAGTCCATCCTGACAAAAGAATATTAGATTTTATCATCTGGAACTTTAAAAGCATTTATTCTTTCTTAGAATTCATACTTAGATTCGTGCTGAGTGTGCAGAGTTTGCAGAGTTTGGAGACACTGTGGGGATCAAGAAAGATGTTATCCATTACAAAAAAAACATTTCTCTTGATGGTACACATAGTAACTGAGATTTAGTTAAAAAGTTACATGCATATCCTAATGTGCTGACAGAGCCACAAACTTAAAAGCTTACTCTCAGATTTTTTTTTCACAAGGAGGTTTCCTATTCCTTTAACTGGATTCCTGATTTTAAGGAACTTATCAGCATTATTTAACACATTATTACTGAATTATTGTGCACTTCACACAGATTATTTAAATCATTGCTTATTGCCTTTGTTGGAGTTGGTTCAGTTTGTAAAAGCTCATATGATCTCAGCTTTTCTGCTGCAAAAGTTTAAAAACCACAAACCCAGTGGTCTAAGATGGAACAGGGGCAAAAAAGGAAAACATTAATATTTTTAATAAGGGTAAATATTTTCACAGATTCTCTCTTGGTAATTCCAGAAACAACAATAACATTTACTACTTTGTAAAACATATTTAACCTCTTCTGATTGAGTTATACAGACTGAAAACCTTTTTTTTTTTACTTTGAAAAGGCCTGTCTGTCTGCATTTTAATTAGTAATTGTAATTTGTAATTATTTGGTCAATACTGAAGTTTGTTTCTCATATAATAACAATGGAAATCAGGTGATGTCATTGACTATGTTTTTGCTGTTTTTATTATTGTAGATTTTAAGCATACATAAGTTCTTATGTACAGACTTTTATCAACAGAGGACCATCCCAGTTTCCGGTGCTGCAGCTACACCTAGTGGCTAGACTTACACGTGCTTTTTATTTTATTCCTCAGCCTTTTCTCTCTACAATTTCCGTAAACAAACATTTTTAATGACGGTTTAAAAGAAAAGAAAAAAAGAAAAGACTTAAGATGAACAGCACTCAGGATGTTCTTAGTTCAAGCTTGAGAAATAATTTCAACAACTCATCCTGAATGTCTCCTTTCCGTCTGAACTGTCTCTATTTATCATAATTCCGTGAGCACGTCTCTGTGGTGTACGTGTATTTATTTTCTGTTGTGTCACAGTGTTTAGTTATGTTTATAAATCTTAGTTCTTGTTTTATTTTGAAAGTTTTTCAGGAACTCTGTGTATTCTCTCCCGCCACTCCGGCCTTCTCCCAGGCCACAGTCCAAAAACGTGGCTGATAAGCTTAAATATAATTGCGCAAATTGGAATTACGAAAATAAATTAGCTTAATGGAAACACGCCAATATCAAAAAAACAATTTACGACAAAAGGTATCAGAATCTCAAAACTGCAATTGGAAACGTTTTTGCATCACACGAGTCACGTGATCAACAACCGGACGTTAATACAGGCGGAAACGATAACAGGAAGTTGTAGGAAGGTGATGGCATGGCAAGTTTTTTTAATGACTGATTGCATTAACAAATTTATTAACGTGTGATTTTAATTAAGTTTCGAAATTGTGGTTTTCAATATTTAGCAGAATATCAACAAAGTGCAGAGCACATTTTTAATGGAAACGCAGTTCGTGTCAGGATGTCACAGCTGACATTCATTCTGGTAATTAGGCTCACCTGCTTCCATGCCAGTAATCACATTCCCCAGTCTCTCATGTTATGCTCTTCTCCACTGGTTCCTATAGTTGACCTTTCCCTGGCTCCTGTGACTCCCCCATGTTTTGTAAGTTTTCTATTCCCCCTGACTCCTCATTGGCAAACATGACACTGTAGTCAGTTGTTTTAGCTACTTTTAAAGATCAGTTTTCTTTCTTTCTTTTTTTTTTTGAGCAGAAGAGCAAATAAATGGCTAAAAATTTAGATTGATTTGGGAAGCGTATTCTGTTTCACATGGCAGCCACTGCTCACATGCACATTTCTCAAACAAAATAAGACAACTCTTGTTTTAAAGCTGTAGTTCAGCCGCCTGACCTCTCGTGTTGAATTAAATAAGAGACATTTTTCCCCTCTCAGTGGACCGATTTATTAAAGAAAAGGCAGCTAGGCTGTGGTTCTCACCAAAATAGCAACACTACTGGCTTCCTTCAGTCCTTAAAAGGACAAACTATTGGCTTTGTGTCTTGTATGGTTAAAAATATCTTTCTCTTGTTAGCACCACCTTAGAGTAAAAACCAAAATAAAGCACTGGCTCTGTGGGACTGTAAGGCAAAGCCTTAGGATGAGATAAGACACACCAAAGTGTGCAGGAGTGAAATGTTTTTAAAAGGGTACTGCATTCCTTCTTCTGATGCATTATTGCAAGAAGGCTCTGTGTTATTTCCAATCGGGAAATCAGTTAAAAAAATATTTTATCACTGCTGCTCTCTTCATTTTGAATTAAAATACATTTTTGAGAAAAGTTTTGACAGTTCCTCTTTGCCACCTCCATTCTCTTCAGTTCTCTTTCCTTTCTGAAGACTGGCATGACCGTGGAAAAACGTTACCGTGTGGTGAGTCATTTGTCTTGATTTGACCACAATCATCCTGCTGAAAGACCTAATAGCAATCCATTTTCAGTTTTCTGGCAGACATCACTGGATTTTTATTTAAAACCTCTGAGGATTTCAAAATTTCCAGACACTATGCACTCTAACATATCGCCTTTGGAAGAGAAGCAGAACCTCCACGACACTCAACAGGTAGCATTCCTGTTAGGTAGCATTCCCACATGTTACTCCTTTTTCATAGAGACTCACCTGGAGTGTTTGCTAGGAGAAAATAAATGTCAATCTTGGTATCATTTGACCACACCACATAGTTCCAGTTAAAGCTCCAGCAGCGTTTGGTTTGTGATTGTACGAGCCTTGTAGATAGTCCAATGGAAAAAGTGAGACGAGAGTTGAAGAATAAAGAAAAAACTGACATGAATCAATGGATTGCTTTTTATGCACCTTAAAATTCATAATTTGGGAGATGTTTTGTGGGCGGGAGACAGTCGGAGTTCAACCAGACATCAAAAACCTAGCGGAGGTAAACCCTTGTTATTGCTAAGATACATTCATTCATCAGCTTTTCATTGTCAATTATTAATTGAAATATCATATTCTGCATTCCCATTTGGCAAGAAGGAAATCAATGGTTGCTTTACTGCCATCTAGTGCTCAAAAATCACATTGAGTTTGTACATTTCAAAATATAAAATGAAAGCGTAACATCAGATCTCCATTTCAACCTTAATATGTTTTATGCTTACCTCAAAAATGCACTTATATCGTACTTTTTTTTTTATTAAACATTAGATTTTAAGAGTAGCAGCAGTTGTCTTGTATGTCACATTCAGTAAGCAGAGTTCATCTTCACTGAGCTATTATGAAACAGCCAAGGATCATGAGGGAACTGCATCTCTATGGAAAGTCAGCTAGCATTAAAGTACACTTTTTAAGATCACAGATGCCAAGACATTGGAGTTAAATGTCCCCCAAATCTGATGAGCAGTTCACAGTTCTGTTCCCGTAAAGTTATCCTCATAGGGGCCCAAGAGAGTCCTGAGACTCTTGTTCGTTGGCAAGGATTGTCTGGCCATTATCGCTGTAGCTTCTGTTTGGCAGGAAGGACAATCTGAAAGAGACAAAAAACTTTGTTAGTCCACATTAACCAAGTCTTAATGCAAGACAGTAGGCTTCAAGTTATAAACACCTTTCAAAAAAACCCTTCCAGTTATTGTAGAGCTCTGGAAATTTTGATTTCTATAAACCACTGTCGAAGAGATCTTGGTATGAATTGCTGGGAACAGTAATGGGGAGAAGTCATGGGAAGTCAAATCAAATTCGCTGGGAATTACTGACACATTTAGCAGAACCACCTTTAGCAGATTCAGTTTGAGTTTTCCATTTTCTGCATGCCTTTATTATTCTCAACTATTGTGGGTAAATTTTGACCCACTCGTTTCCACCGCGTTGCTGTTATTGGTTGAATGATTCAGTTTGGACGAAGCTTCAACAGAAATGGCCTCACACTTGACCCCAAAATTCTTTGGTTTTCTCCAAACATGGCTCCCGATAATTGGCTAAACATCTCCAATATGGTCTCACTTGTTGTTAAAGGACATTCTTCCAGAGGTCTTGTGATTAAATCGGATGCAACATGACACTCTGGAGTCATGAACCCATGTTTGTCTTAGAGAGAAGAGGCTTTCTCCTGACACTCCTTCCAACTGATACATTCTTCTCCAGCCCTTCTCTAATGGTCCTATCATGAAAATGTATTATTTCACTGGTCAGCCTGAGGCAGGTTGGGCCTGAGAGGAAACACTTGGATGTTTTCAAATTTTTCTGTAGATTGCACAGTCTGAGTTTGAGTTCACATTTTGGACTACTCCCAGGAAAACTGAAAAATCCCTTTAAAATTTCCCGATTGCAAATAATTTTTCTAACTGTTCATTAACTGACTTGAGAAAGTTTAAAATGTACCTTTATTATTTTTCTTCCCAGAAAGAAACTAACAACCATTTCTCTTTTCCAGCCATTATTTTTGCCGTCTTTAACAGAGAAATAGCGTTGTACAGTAGGGACATTTCCGACTCGACATTGTGGCAACATCTTTATACTCCAGATCAGCAAACTGAAAACGGAGCTCAAATCTGCTACCATCCACAAGAGATGCAAATAACACGATCATCCAGCCATCTGTTAGTTACTAAAAAAAAACCTAACATTAATATTTTTTTCAAACGGTTACAATGAACACTTTCTTGGAATTACATTTGATCCTAGTTGTAGCGCCAAAATATCCTCCTCATTAGTCAGAAGCCCACTTTATGTTTGACCTCCTGGATACTTTTAAGGCTATGATTCAGTCTTTTATTTTTAATAGAGTAAAAATAGGAAACTAGATATATTTTAAGACAGGTCTTGACGATAAAATGTGAAAAATCTGTTAGGATCTGAAAACTAACATATAAACCACACATGCCCATGTCCTGCTTTCTCAGAACGGAAGCTGCATAAGTTATCTATTAGCTAAGTTGTTTAAAAGAGACAGTAAACCTAATGCCAAATAGACCAAAGGTAAACAGGTAGACGGTGTGTTTGAGTCACACTCTAACATTTACACTCCCTAAAATATGTGCATCATTGATGCAGTTATTAATGTAGAAAATAACTCGAAGTTATAATAGTTGAGCTGGTACACAGAAATGTCTGATGTGGCTTTAAGGATAAAACAACCAATTAAGTTATTGAAACTTAATGATCAAAATGGACTCATGTCAAGGTTCCACTTGGAGAAAACAGACAAAACTATTCTCGCACACAAAGTAGCAAAGAATATGATGCAAGCAAAACGTTTATCGCGACCCAAATCTGTCAAGTTGGTCATGTTTTGTTTAGGTTCAATTGGGATTCTCCTTCTTGGTTTCTGTCTCTCTTTTGCTGAGTCAGCACTCTTGCATTGAGACAATGTCACAAGCATTCAATAAGTAAAACAAAAGCAGACTGGTTGCTTCACACAACCAAGACAAAATGTAGTTTCTTAATTTTTTTTTTAACCACATTCTTAAAGAGAAAGGAACGTAAATTACAGTTGCAGCTGCCTGTGTATTCAAACTGTCCAAACATATGATCATTCTATTAAAAAAATGAAAAGACAGACTTGCATTTCAGAGTCACAACACAACAATCGTGATGTTTATTTTAAAAGCTTTGTTTGAATGTCTATATATCAGAAACATAAAAACAAAATGATTCAGACAAAACTCTTTTTGAGCCGGATGCTAAGATGGGTCGTCAAGCTAATCTGTAAGGTCAAGCAATGACATTTTCAAGGTACTTGTATACAATTTAAAACAGACATTTACTAAAGATAATCTACCTTTTCTCACTACCTGACATTAAATCAGATTTTTTCTTTTCCTGAAAAAATAAAATTGAATCTCAGCAGAAATTACATTTGTTAATGGTTGTCCTATCGCTATATGGTCCTATATATATATATATATATATATATATATATATATATATATATATATATATTATATATATATATATATATAAATAAGTCCTACAGACACATGGGTTAAAATAGGGGACTTTCCACAGACAGTTGAAGGCAGTATGAAGTCAGTTCTGTGAGTTTTATTTGTGACCCAAAAGTATCTGTCATCCACATCAAAAGAGAACATTTGTATTTTTAAAAAAATGAATAGAGGACAGGAATTTTCCGAATCAAATTTGTCAGCATCAGTTTATGAAAAAAAGCATAGCTGACTATATCCTTGGAGTTTGCTTAACATGATGGTGACTTGTCTTGCAGCACGTTTTTGTAATTTTAAATCACTTTATGTTGTTTGTGACGTGCCAGCTGTCACTTGCTGTACAAATTCAGATTTATGCAGAACAGCTGAGGCTGCTTTCTACGCTCTTTTACTGGCAGTGAGAAACGGGAGAATCTCGGCCCTTGTGGTATTTCACTAATTTGTCTCATGGGAACAAAATGGCTTTTAAAATTCTAATGGTAATGTAGAAAACATCCTCTTTGAGCCCTTTTAGACAGCCTAACATTCCAAATGCAGAGAATTATTTCATCCTACTGAATTTAAGGCAACATAAATTGTAATATTTGTGCAATCTGTTGGTTTAACAAAAAAAAAGAAGAAAAAAAACATTTCTCTTTGCGGTAAAAGCCAAATGTTGTTGGAGTCCAGATGCTTCAAATGAAATAATTGTTCATCTCTTTACACTGAAAACATCAACATTTCTGTCGTTTGTGAACAAAACATCAACTGATCTGTTATGTGACCTTTAAAGGAGATCAAGACGAGATAAGAGGGGAGCTTTGTGTTCCTTTAATTTTGTCCCACTATGGTTTGGGAACATTAAATAATCAAATTGTGTCTCATCATCTTTTAACGCTGAGGCAATGAGACGGGATAGACGTGGCGGTGGGTTGATGGGGAAATAAAAGGAGACAAGTTGTGTTTTCCCACAAGAACAGAGATCAGTTTAGCAGAATAAAAGCAGGTCTAAGCATGATGAGTTGGTGGCCTTTTTAACAGTCTTTGCAGTTGCATGCAACTTTTTATCACTCATGTTTGGGAAACCTTTTTCACTAAACTAGCTTGTGTAAAAGCACAAAGCTAATATTTTTACATACTGAAATGACAATAATATAACAAAATGTTTGGTAACTTTTTTCCCCCTAAACTTGCATCAACCACATAAAACAGAGATTGGAAGATGGCTACTGGGACAACAACATGTGTTATCTGTGGTCAGTATGTTTTTAATTTTTTTTTTTTTCTCTCTCTCTAGTCTTAGCAACAGGAACAGAAAATAACCACTCTTCCTTCAAAAAGGCTTGGATAATGAAGTATCCCAAGTAGATGCTAGCATCGTAAGGGTGCACCCAAGACTGATTTTGAGTAAACGTCGGTGGATCTTTGTAGTCCTGTTTACTGTTCAACTAAAATGATAGCAAAAAAAAAAAAAAGCAGGTCACAAAATATCATTCTTAGGAACCATGCTTTAAAGTTTCTTTTTAAACCTCGTTGCCAACTCTAAACAGTAAACATATTCATAAGTGCATTTCAAATAACCTCATAGTGAGTTGGGTTCAGTGCAGTTTATGAATTTCATTGACTGAGATTTTTTTTTAATTGTTTTCTGCTAAAGTCAGGTTCTTGTATGCAAGGTTTATGTCAGTGATTTTTTTTATTTTTTTTTTTTTTAGGGTTATTGCTTTATATCTTGTATTGTACCAAATAATCCAAAGTATGTTTAAGAAGAGGGTAAGAAAGTCAATAAGCTGCAGTCCAGTCATCTTGCAACAACATGTATGAATGTCATATTTATTCTGCATGCCAAAATAAAATGGAGGAGCATGATAGAGTAGAGTAGTAGTTTGAAACTTCACCACTAGATGTCACGAA